TCTCATTCTCATTGAGTTCCTGCTCTTGTCTGCGTTGTCTCTCCTGTTCAACTTGCTCGAGCCGTCTGCGATCTTCTTCTACTTGCATCTGTCGCTGACTTTCCGCCATTTTTGCGGCTGCAGCCTTCTGTCGGAGGATTCTTTCCACGTTGTAGCCTCTGACACGAAGCTCAAGCAGATCGGTTTTTAACAACATTTCGAGAGTAAGTGTGGAATGCAATTTGGGCCTCAACAAGATCTCATGGACCAAGGCCTGGCTAACCTGATAGAAATTGATGTCACCCGGGGAGATGCAGAGAATAGGGTTAGAGTTATTCTGTCTTCTTGATACCACTGCGCTTCGTTTCTCGACATGGCCAGTGTTCCGCCCACGTAGCGAACGTCGCAATGATATAGATTGCACAACTTGAACTGTTAAATGATTTTCAAGCCACTTTGCGTCGTGTTTTATTACTTCTTTGGGAAGGTCGTGTAAGAAAAGCCGTGCTCGCTCATGTATCTGTTTCTGCAACTTGATCGCATTGCGTTGGTCGGGAGCAGCATAACCACAGCGAACATCTTCCACAACAATGCTGCCCAAATTTGGGGCTCCAAGTTGAACATACATGTCTTCTAAAGCCTCCTCCTGCGGCGCCGCGAGTACACTCTCCTTGAATAAACTAAAGCTCGCATAGTCATCGACAATGACAGCATCCGCTGCCTTGACCAACTGCCACTCTCTGACTAGAGCTTCCTCTTCCTCGTGAGCGTCGTCAATTCCTTCACTTTTTGTTTTGGATGGCAATTCCCTGCTTGCTAATAAAAAGTTCACTTTTTTCATGTCTCTAATGAGGTTTCGATCCCTCTTGATTTGATCCATATTGTCAGCAATGCTCCGCAATAATTTCAGGTACTTTTCCGGGTTCTGCAGTTTATCGACAATTCTAGCGTAGTCTTTTACAAGCATGCTAGCCAGTTCAACCGTTGTAGGCTCTCTCTTCGACCCACAGGCAAGGAGAAACAGGTTAGCCTCGGCGCCAAAATCCACGAAGTCAAAGATATCCATATAATCCTCGCTGCCACCGAGGTAACAATCTTGTGGCGCAATGTGAATCAGATTGGCAGATTTCTTTTCAGTATGGCCTCGACCAGGCTGGGGGCCGCGGTTTGTGGGAACAATTGCAGCTCGACCGATGCGGTCTGCGGTGGAAGAGTTGATTTCAGCAAGGCGCTTGGCAAAATATTGGAAAAGCTCTTTGGCCTGGCTTGCCGACTTAGGAGGCTCTCGAACCAAGATGTTCAAACAGTCATTAATTGGAGGATGCTGTTTCACCCCAAATTTTGAGGCGTGAGCTTCGAGGTCTCTCCTGAGCAGTTTAAAACCGAACAACAATGCTCCCCTATCCGTAAAACACTGGCTTGGAGCGCCATGCGTCCCATCCTCGAGCGGAAGGAAGGGAAGAGTAACTTTTGCATAGTCAAAATCTCCATACCCATTTATAACATGAGTGCTGATGAAATAGGCCAGGGCTTTGTCTCTCAAGTGAATATTCCTCTCAGAGGCGGCTTGTGCAATCAATTGAACTAGCTCCGGGGCAGAAGGATAGCTCCTGAGACCTAGCAGTGTCAAAAATTGTGCTTCTGCACTCCCAGACGGATATGGTCCAGGCCAGTACAACAAGGGCATGTCTAGATCCCTCAGTGACTGCTTGGGTTCAAAAAGCTCGCACACTCTATATCGTTTGTCGGACATTGCGGTAGCTCCATTCGCCTCAGCCGTGCAAAACCTCACTTGCTTCAGCTTTGCAATATCGCCTTTTGGTATGTCACTGCGAACAGTAGTGAGGTATTTAATAAGCTCAACATGACTCCACCGTGGCCGGTTCACCTTGTCCTCCTTGGTGTCGGTGGAAGCACCGAGAAGCCGCTCAAAAATCACGTTAAGGTCGACAGTTTTCCGGACTCCAAGGCCCACCAAAAATTTTTCCTTGACGTTGTTCAGCCCATGAACCACGGGTAGGTCCTCCAATAAGCGCACAGAAGGAAAATATGCCTCGGGAGGCTTCCTCATTCCTGATCTGGTTGGAACAACAGTATGCTGCTGAAGTAAATTGCTAATAGCCGTTTTCGATTGTGGGGATAGACCGTCCCATTGCTTGGAGACAATAGGCAAAATTCGAGCCGAGAATGATGGTGTCCGCGTTATGCACTGCTCTAGAGGTAGAGAAGAACTCAGATCGCTTTCAACCAACCAACGGACCCAAGAATCTATTTGCAGCTCATACCAACCAAGTGAGCTCAGCTGATTCGCCTGAAGGTTTTTGGTATACTTAAAAGGCATGACCGACGAAGGGATCGGTAGATCTGCGGGAATTCGAGATGGATTAAGAAAGCTTGAGATATCTCTCAGGACCAGAATACCACTAGGTACCCCGTCTAATTCGTCGTTTGCTACCACAACACTTAGCAAGGCGTTAATGGTGGCTCGGTCAAATTCATGATTAACTGCCTTCTCTACAAGCCAGGAAAGAAATTCACTGAGCTGTTTGGCACTTAGAGGCTTTGACTCGAGTTCCCTTTTAATATCAGAGACCGTGATGTCGGTAATAAGCCCAAAGTCAATTATTCTGGATATGAACCCCTTAGACTGATCCATCAGAGAATCAGGAATAACAGGTATTGAGTCCATAAAGCTTAGATCTTTTGGTGCAAGACGAATTTTGTGAGTTGGAAGAACGCCACAAGTGGAGAGCACCTCAAGATATCCGTTTTGGCTGCATGTCCAGAACGAATTTTCAATGACCTGTGCGACTTGAGTGGCTGGGGTAGACTGGTGGAATACAAATTGATTGGATATATGTGCAGCCTCTGGAACTACTGGAACAATATCGTCCATCTGCGGTGTGGTCCGCCCTGATCGTGATGCCAGAGAGGCAATCCGATCTTTAATGGTAGCCATTTCTGCCGCCCAGGCAATCCTACATACAATGCCAGATGCACGCAAAAGCTCTGTATTCCACGTGCGCACCCAGCGCGCATTAAGGTCAATGCTCTCCCGTTCAACTGTGGGGATGATGGAAGGGGCCGATATATGAGCGCCCATACCAGTGGTTTGGTGGGTTGGAAATCCAATATAAACCCTGCCAGACTTAGAGGGCAGGACTGTGGCGAATATTGATTTTGTATTAGACGTCCCTGACTCGTCGGAGAGCTGCATAGAAGCGAATGAAGAGGTTAAGACCGCGAGGGAGGTGAACTTTGGGGCCGGCTTTTTCGTTGCCCGGAGCAATTCCTGTCCAAAAGAATGGCCAACGGACGTTTGTATTTTCGCGGTGTTAATGTGTAAAAACACCGAAGATGACGTGAACAAGGTGAGGTTTTCAGGAATAGGGGCCTGGGAAGGCTTGCCGTTGTCCGCTGTGTTGTCAGCTAGCTTTCCACCGGCAGATCGGGTTAGACGGGAAAAAAAGCTTCGAAGAGAACTTGTGTTATCATCCCCTCGGGTTCCTTCAAACCTAGAGGAATTTGTAGGCGATTTCCATTCAACAGCGGGCATCCAGCTAGCATCAAGCTGGACAACTTCCCGTGTGACACCTTGAACCTTCATCAGGCCTTCGGAAGTTTTCGTCTGGACATCCCTTGGTATGTTGACGGAAAGACCGGGTGCAATCTTTTTGGACAGTTTCAACAGGTTCCAACCGTCTAGCCAAAGCTCGATTGCCTGGAGACCAATAAAGGTCAAACTACTCGCAAGAAACTGGCATAATGGCAGAAGAGCGGGTATTGGAGAAGTAGTATTACGGTAATCCAGAACAAACGTTGTGTCTGGGGAGCAATCCTGATCTTGAAGCTGCAGACGACGTGTGAACAGAGCATTTTCTTTCCAGTAAAAGGCTATGGCTTCTTTCCCGGAGGACACAAATGGCTCTTCACACTCAGAGAATACACTGTAGAAGCCAACCCCGAAGGCTCCGATCTTTGTTTCGTCGGGGTTTCCTTCAGCGATCCGCTTTAATCGAGACCAATCGTTAGCACTAAAAGGAATACCGTTATTTTTGAGAATTAAGCTCTTGACAGTATGATGGGATATAACATGTTTTATGGAAGCAGCTGCATCGTCCGTGGGTGGGATTGGCACGGCGGTCGAGGGAAGGGTTTCTAGCTTAATGATAACTTGCGTGGCCGAGGCATCCGCGGCGTTTTGAAGGAGCTCCCGCAAAACGGTCCTATCTTAAATTATTAGAAAAGAAAAAGTAGCTCACTTTCAGAGGGTCACCATACCATTCTCCCGAGTATCTGGCCAATACCTTGTCTATCAAAGCACGGGTATTCACAGTCACGGCTTCTTCGTCGAGGCCGGACTCAATTGCACGAGCCTTCAAGGCGTTGAAGTCGACATTTCCAGCCATGGCTTGACAGCATTATAATGATTTCCATATGCGAACAAATCCGAACCTGAGGATAGGTGGAATTCAACCGTCTGCGGAAATCCAAAACACAGTCTCCGAACGGTCAAATGACGATTTTAGGGTCCGTACAGATATGAACACCCTTAAAAAAGGAAGGGTACTAAAAGAGAGTACTCCGTATAAAAGACCGGAACAACCCAACTTTCACCATGGAAACCCACTGACATGGACGCGAAGGATGTCCTCAAGGCTGGCTCCCGTCGCGAAGTGCCTCTGAGGCTGATTGACCTTCGTATCAATCACTTGTAACATTGAGGTATGAGCCGCCAGAGACTCCCAGCGCCAAGACGGTATTATTACGTTGTCCAACCAGGCAATCCATTGAGGCTGATAATCACGTGTACGCCAAGGTTCCGTGGGTGCACAGCTACCAACCACGCAGTTTACTTCGCTCTCCGTAGCTAGTGCAGTAGTGTCTTGGCATTGGTCTTGGCATTTGCTTCCGCTCCAAAGTGCACCTTCGACAGATGGACGGACGATCTAGTTGGGTGGCTCAAGGATTGCAGAAGCCAGATTCATACAGACACATGGTCAGGACCTTGGAGCTCTGTACGAATTATCGACGCCAGCTCGATGGAGGAGTGATTGGCCCTCATACACACACATACACACCCTGCAGCCCACATGACAAGGGGAGCTCCCAACTCCTTTAGACCAGCCGTCCTTCTGTCACATATCAAGTCCGGATCTCGCCCATCCAGATGTTACGATGGCGGTTGACCCTATTTCACCGATCGCGCCGGCGCGCCTACGCACTCTACTGCTACCCATAGGGAGAATCAGGCGATCGCGATTTTTAGAACTTGTCGAACGGCTCCAGGCCCAAAATGTGGTTCGGTTGGGAGACGTGAGTCCCGTCGGGCGCCCTAATAGAAGTACGCCAATGGATGATATGCTTGCCTGACGCCCTTGGCTTATTGTTTATTTTACTGACAGCCCCTGGAATAGTAGATACATTCTCTCCGCTGGCGTTCCCCTCTGGAATGATCATCTACGATTTGTCCACTTCGGTACCCCCGACCTCCCATCTTGATCTGTTCCCCTTCGAACCTTTCAGGGAACCCGTGGCCATCTTAGCGATTGCGGACGGGAAAGAGCTCGAACCCCCTGAGCCAGATGAATTGTCTCAGCAGAAAACCAACGGGGTAACAGGTCCCCCGCATCCCAAACCTCCCGACCTTGACAGTCTCGTCGCGGAATTGAGCGAACTGAAAGCAAACTATCCTCACTCGCTTACACGGCAGTTGTTGATATTCGACTACAAAGGTGTCAATAAGCTGGTCCCCGGGCCCGACAATGTGATGTGGATACCCTCTCCAGCAGTGTCCCGAACGACAACCATCAAAACTCTAATGTGTGATATATCCTCCCTAATACTCAAAGAACTCGGCGATTTTTCAGAGTCAATGCAAGAATGGCGAACCATAGATTCCCCCACGGCGTCTTCTTGGGGGCCGCGTCGAACACGTGACGTCCGGCCTACAGATAAGCTCAAGCATCGAATGACTATGCCTGCGCAATTACCGTCACAGCCCAATGCCCCTACCAGTCATCATTCAGATACCGAACTCACTGCCCATGCACGCGAGTCACCTACGACATTTGACGAAATAACTCGATCGATTCAACTCGCGAATCGAGCAACGGCAGCTTTAAAATCCAGCTCCAAACCCGGATCTCAAGAACATAGCCGCGAGCGCATGTCCATTCATGGCCCTTCAAGTGTAAATGAGCGCTCGAAAACCAGATTCCACGCTCGTTTGAAAGTAGTGACTGGGTTACTGCATCTTCAAGCAGGTATCTGGCCTGAAGCTATGAAAGAGCTTGTTGAGGGTGCGATCGGCGCGAGGAGCGGAAGTGATTATATTTGGCATGCAAAAGCGCTAGAAAGTATTTTGATATGTTTGCTGCTGTATGGCTGGATTGGCATGGATTTTCAGGTTGGGCCCAGCTCTCATGATCGCGCTCTCCCGAGCCACGATTAACTAATTCCCAATCTACAGATACCCCAGGTTTGTTTTCCATCCATCGACAAACCTACAACGAAGCCTCCCCCGACTCCTAGCCATTCAGAGCCGAGTGCGACTTCAGAGTCCAGGGCGGCGTGTTTAAAAAGCTTGGCGATTATTCTTCCCGACATTTCAAATTATATTTTAAGTCTGTACAACCGAGCGACTAATATCACGGATGAACCTCTACCTCAGTTTATCTACTCCGAGACGACAATAAGGCTCGCTAAATTATTAACGGTTGCTTACAATCGAGACGGATTCTTAGATGATAATGCCTTAAATCATATAGTAATGGGCCTTCCTTTAGAATCTGTTCAGTCTTCAGATCGCCCACGGGGCTATATGGCGCTTCGCAAAACCGAGATAGCGTCATTTTTATTCCAAGCTTTACCTCCATCTCCTGCGACAGAGATTCCCATCACAGACTCTGTGCAGATCCTTGTTGGCATGGCAGCCGTTCTGTCACAGCTAGGGTTGGAAAGGAAACGAGGATTTGTTTTGAGGGAACTTTTAACAGCTTCGATCACTGGGCTTATTCAAGCACGCAAAATCGGAGCTGCTGATGTGGGAATACATCCAGCGGCTGGCTTGTCTGCGCTTAACAATGAAGCCTTCGACTTAAATGCTTTGGATGCCGGGTCTGGCAATACTGAAGACAGTATGAGAGGTCTGTTGGCTTTGGTCGCGTCACTATATGGCGCGCCAAGCGCAATAAACGGGCAAATTAATCGGCCCGATTCCAAAGACACCGAAGGTCAGCCCGGGTATGATTCTGTCGAGGCAATAATCGAAAGAGCCTTAAATGATAGTACTTTGGCATCCTACGGGGATACATTACTCAAAGTTGACATCTTCAAGGCTTGTATTGATTTTTGTGAGGCACTTCCAAATTTTGAAGGGGTACTTCAGTTTACAGTTGGGCTTCTTCAGACCATTAAGGGGAGCCCAATGCTTGCACCAAATGACAACAATATTCCTCCAATTTTGGCACCCGAAGAGCAAGTCCGATTTTACAACAATGTTAAGCGTACTGTTGGGGCCGCCAACAGACTTGGGCACCCCGACATGGAAGCCGAATATTGGGACGATTTTATGGTGCGAGACATTGAAATCCTAGAGAATGCAGATGTAAAACAGCCCGTACAGCGATCAAAGAAAGATTTCGGGATGTCAGTTGTCAACGAAGATCGTGGGAATAAAGGTCCATTCATATACAGTGCGTTTTCAAAGGCGCCAATCGGCCGTTCGGAGTCGCTACTGGTTGCCGGCGAGCAAAGCGCGGTCAAAGTCGTTCTCCAAAACCCGTACGAATTTGACATTGAAATCGAACGCCTCCGGTTAGATGGGAGTGACGTGGAGTTTGAAGCGGAAACACATGGCCTATGGCTCCGACCGTTCTCCTTGGAAGAAAAAATCATTCCTTTGTTGGCAACAACAGAAGGGACTCTAAAGATCACCGGCTGCATTGCCAAAGTAAGATTTTGCCGACAACGTCATTTTCCGATATTCAAAAAGCTCTGGAAGCCAAGCTTCCAACCCAAGCTTAAGCGAACTGGATTGGCAGCTAAAGATCTATCCTTCCAACGGCCCTTATCTTGGGGTTCAAACGAATCTGGAGGCGGACATGTTCCTACGCAAGCTGGCCCTGAGCCTGACCACTTGCTCGTTAACGTCATAAAGCAGCAGCCACTCTTAGAGATCGAGTCTTCCTCATTGCTACAAAATGCCATCATGCTCCTCGAAGGTCAGACCAGCACCTTCGATATTACACTCCGCAACGTCACTTCGTGTCCCGTTGGTTTCATATTTTTCACTTTCCAGGATTCCACGACTAGGCGGCTTCAAACCGCCATCAGCAATAAAGACAACCTTCCAGCCGAGGTTTACGAACTGGAATATCAACTTTCCGAAATTCCGGCCTTACGATGGAAGCGGCCCATCGACGACAACGGGAAGATCACAATTGCCCCAAAAGAAACTTCAACGTTCACTATTGAAGTCTTTGGAAAACCAGGATTAAATGACGCTGAAATCCAAATTGATTATGGATACACCAGCGTATCGTCGTCGGAAATCCCAGAGACATTTTACACGAGACAACTCAACTTTCCTCTCACCATTACCGTTAACCCCAGTATCGAACTTGTCCGTTGCGATATTCTACCGTTTAGTCCTGATTTTGCATGGTCAAATAGACATCGTCATAAGTTTTCTGACACTAGCGCTAAAGGGGCACCGACCTCGACCGCGCCTCCCAGTCACTCATCGAAAACCGAATTTTCGAAGATGCTATCCCGAATTGGAATGGAGCCATATGGATCGGATCATTGCCTGCTCCTGTTAGACCTACGGAACTCCTGGTCGAATCCACTGACCGCATCTATCTCAGTCACAGAGAACATTGACGAAATCAATAATTCTCTAAGTACTGAACCATCTGTGCATGAAGTTGTAGATGTTCTGCAATCGGGCCGTACTACCCGTCTAGTTGTTCTCGTCCCACGAATCTTTTTAGACAACCCTTGCAAGGCAATCCCGAGTTTAGGGCATGCAAACAAGCGCCAATTTGTCGTAAGTGCGCGGAAAGTGTCGTATGAGGCAGAGGTCGCTGGGAGAGAGGCGTTCTGGTTCCGCGAAGAGCTGCTCAAACGACTTTCTGGCACGTGGAAAGAGGATATGACCGGCCGAAAAGGCGCTATTGGCTTACGTGGAATTACGTTAAATAGTGGAATAGTTGATGCTCTCCGCATGGACGATATTGAAATAACATTCTCAGTACGTCAACCTAAAGATGAGGCAAAGGGTCCGAGCAATACTGCAGAGAGCGACTGTGATTCTACATCTACGGTGCAAACAGGGTATTCGAAATTCACCATACCAACAAATTCGTTCTTGACGCTGTTTGTTACAATCTTCAACCGCTCTTCCAGGCCTGTACATCCCCTCCTTCGTCTCGTTCCTAGCCTCCGTCATCAACCAGACTCTGTCGCTTTGGAATTATCCAAACGGTTCTCCTGGACCGGTATGCTCCAGCGAGCGCTCCCGATCCTGGGCCCTAGGCAGACAACCGAAGCACGCCTAGGTATAACGGCATTCTGCCGCGGAGAATATGAGATTGGAGCTCTTGTTGAAGAAGTTCGGCGACTCAAAGCAGCATCTTCGACGGAAAGCTGCACAGATGGGGATGTAAGCGAAAATAATGACAACGGCGATACGCCAAACCATTCCGCCAGCGAACAAGAACGGGGTCTCTTCCTCGAAAACTTGGTTACCGATGTGCCAAATCAACGGCGCGTGTGGCACGCTAGAGCACCCTGTTTTCTATCTGCTCGAGATTAGAGTTGTGGGTAAACCCTGCTATTTCCCGAGTCCTTCGCCTCTTCATGCGTCCCTGGTTGGATTTGGCGCTTTTATGAAGGTGCACTCCACGCTCTGAGGGTATCTGCCTGTTAATTAGCATGTCCTAATGTTATTTTCATAGAAGAGTTCATTTTATTGCAAGGTGACATCTCACTGCTCCCGTATTATCTCGTGATATATGTGTTCAGGATATCATAGTCAATGCTTTGCAGCAAGCAAAGACTGGTATTTTTAAAGTCTCGTTTTCATCTTGGGCGCCGTGGTATGCACAATCATTTGGATTATCACGTAGGGGAGGCTGCTCATCTGTTTTTAATCTCGACTACCTCTTCAAGGGGCTGTAAATGAACTGATCGATTGTTCCGTTCTGGTGTAGATATTGTATCACTCCGCGTACATGTGTTTCTCCCCCAAACAACAGCGTCGGCCGCGTAACCCCTGAACCCCTGATGCGCCCTGGCTGGCTGCTGGCAATGGATTTTTTCAAAGAGCGCAGTGACGTCATACCGGCACTTGGGCCTCGGCACTCCCGAGCGATCCAAAAGTCTAAAAATAGGATCTCCGTGGTCGCGCGAAGAGCTTTCGAGATCCCGGGCTGCGGCGAAACACTCCCACAGTGGCCTTTTTTTTTTTTTTAAGCTATTCTTTCTTTCTTCCTTTGTTCTGTTCTTCTATTGTTTTCCGCTTTTGTGGAAAAATTGGGTTTTACGGCAGTTTTTAATCTAGGAACACTGACCTTAGTTGTACCTCTCTTCCCGTTCTAAATTACCACCTTGGAAGTGTTATCTCTGGACACCTACATAGAAACGGACGGGAAGCCGCTTGAGTGTGTTGAATTCGTTGCTAGGTCGATACGGAGTACCCAAAATGGGCCTATTATCTTGGATGCTTCCCAGCGGTCGAGTTGCCTTCCACCACGCTCCCAAATCCGTTCTCCTCCCGCGCAAGAATCCTGGCCCTGATGATTCAAAGTATATCTCTCTTTCGGAGCTCTGCCAAGCTGCAACGCCTTCTATCTGCCAGCTAAACCCTCTTTTATTCAATGGGCACCTACAGACCGCATGGACGGTGGTGAAAAACGACGATGTTCCGGTCTACTACAAGAGGTGGAGGTTCGAGGCGAATAATCCCAACTACAGCGGGACGTTTGAGGTGGATTTCGTGGTTGACCAGTACGATGCGGCGGCCTTATCGCAAGTGGAGGAGAACAGGGACCTTCCATCCCGTACCACGTTCTTCACGGAGAAAGAGTTTGCGGCGCTGCCATCGGAAGATACGAAGCCAATGCTCGTCCTCCTGCACGGCCTGTCCGGAGGATCGCACGAGTTATACCTTCGGCATGTGGTTGCACCGTTGCTAGAGACTGGTTGGGAGGCGTGCGTTTTGAATTTCCGAGGGTGTGCACAGTCTAAGGTTACGAGCTCCATTTTGTACAATGCGCGCGCGACTTGGGACGTCCGGCAGTTGGTGAGGTGGTTGCGGGAAAAGTTCCCTAATAGACCGCTGTTTGGAATTGGTTTTTCGCTGGGTGCGAATATTTTAACGAACGTATGTGCGGCCCGCGACCTGGCTCTCCTGGTGAACCCATGCAGCTAACAACAGAAACAGTATCTCGGAGAGGAGGCTGAAAAGTGCCAGCTTAAAGCCGCAGTGATATGCTCAAATCCTTGGAACCTTGAAATTGGGTCGCTCGCTCTGCAGCGGACATGGCTAGGATTAGAAGTGTATTCAAAGGTTATGGGTGCCAACATGAAACGGCTTTTTGAGCGGTAAGCGTGATCCATTAGGACTACATATGTGCTGGGTGCTTGAAGTGCTAAGCTACATATAGACACGTCGACGCTGTAGAGAAGCATCCTCGCGTAAATGTTGAGCGAGTGAGGAATATAAAGTATCTCCACGAATTCGACCGGTAGGTGTGCCTCGCTCCCCTAAGCGGTGAAGGGCTAATGGAAATCTTGTTAGCGAATTGCAAGCGCCCGTATGGGGTTATCCTACAGAGACCGCTTATTACCGAGATGCATCGTCAATTGACTCGCTTTTCGCTATTAAAATCCCATTCTTTGCCATCCAAGCGGAAGACGACCCCGTAAGAGAGCCTTTATCTATCCATGCTGGCGACTGTAACTAAGAATCTATTTACAGATATCCGTAAAAGAGGCCCTTCCATACCTTGAAATTCAGCAGACACCATATGGGGTCATGTGCACTACAACCTGGGGTGGCCATTTGAGCTGGTTCGAGGCCGGCGGGTCTAGATGGTTTACTAAACCAGTGAGTGCAAGTCCCAATCCAATTGAAAACTTTTTTGTATTTTTACGACTTCGCGACTGTGTCATCAATAGTGTTTGATTTAAGCGTGCTTTCTGCTAACAAATGTCCCTTAGGTCACCGGGTTCCTAAACAAACTGGCCACCGAGATCGACCTTGAATCACCACTCAAAGTAGAGGATACTACTCCTGCAGCGCAGCGCATCCCCGCCAATCCCGCCGGAGAGCTGTATGGGCCAACTCCTAACTTTCAGCCCATGCGGCGGAAATGCAAAATGCCTCTAGTCAACGAAGACGATGAATAGACCCTTCTCATATCCGAAGATTTCCACATCGTTTCATCTGAAGTGCAAGCCACTTTCGGCGCGAATCTTGAGTATTCCGGCCCATCCACAGTCGGATTGTGAGGTTGGCTAGCATGCATCTAGCGCGTCTGTTGTTGTTTTCAATATAAATACTTGGTCTCACGACTTGAATGTCCGTCGATAGATAGATGATTTTACTCCCGGGTCACGTTCCCTGAGATTTATAGATTAATGAATTATAGAACCAATTTTATTCAGGCGAAAGCAACGCGTTTCTTATTCGGCTTTTTCGGAGGTGTAGTTGACTGATCATTATCTTTCTTTGCTTGTTGCTCTTTTCCGCCGTTTTTCCGCTTCCGTTTCAATAATTCCTTAGTTTCTTCCTATACAGTTGTCAGTTCCCATCTAAACACGCAGCCTGGGCAATGTTACGGTGCAGTCATTACTTACATATTTGAATTTCCTCTGTTCTTGTCTCGCCTCTGCTTCTTTCCTTCTGGCTTCACGGATTTCTTCCATCTGTCTCGCTTTCATAATCTTCGATTCAATCTGACCTTCCTTTTCAGCGTTAACCATTGCTAGAATAGTCATCATACTCTCCTAATACAGAGACACCGGTCAGCGCAATTCTACAAAACGTCCACGCAGATCTCGCAAGCTTATCCATACTTGATCATCCACAAAAACCTTCCCTTTCTTCTTCCCTCTTGGTTTCTGCACACCGACGGGTGTAATCATATTGAGCGCGGGCAAATTCAATTCCTTCTCCGTATACTCCCGCTTCTTCGTCTTTTTCTGGAGGGCTTTCTCCGTCCGGGCTTTGGTTTTAACTTCTTTTGGGGGTGGACGTTTAGCGTTCTTGTTTGCAGAGGATTTTGAAACTCGAGATTTCGATGCCAGGGTAGATGAGGAAGAGGACTTTTTGGAGGCAGATTTGTTCGATTGCTTAGAGGAGGAAGCTCCTCTGTTTGGTGCCATGGTGAATGTAAATCGGGAAGCGTGAAAGGAGTTGAATTCAAAGTTCTCAGCAAAACAAATAGTCGAGGACCTTTAATTCCAGCGAAATTTACTATAATACAATTTTAATACCGTCCAAGTAAAGAGTGTAGATGATAGTGGTGCGTGACTCTCGTTCAAACTCCGGGGCCAGCATTGAAGTTTTCCTAGCAGAAAATAAATGCGACGCGGCAATTCAACGTAGTCAGCTTCCGTCCCAGCCAGTCAGCGCCTCCAGCCGGTGAAGGCGGTGAGCTTGCAAATCCACCGCTCCCATTCGCCGGAGCAACGAAAGCCAAGAAGCGCGGATTCACCTCATCGAACGTGCTTCACCTTGTCTCTCTCGATCAATCGGCACCTGCAAGTGATTTCATAGTTGCTGCCCACTATGGTGCTGAACCCGACTTATTTGGCACAGCGGACGCGCTCATGTGAGTTTGATTACCTCCTCTCGACCTCTGCCATTCCCGTCAACCGGAAAGACATGGATTTGGTGGGCTAACTGGTATGCGAATCGAATAGCCGTCAATTGGGGAGATGCAAAAAAGAGAGTATTGAAGTCATATCGGGAATGGCTTAGGGCGGTTCGTTGTTACTTTTCATTCCACTTTGCCCCGTTGATGCGACTCCGGAGACCCGTAATCCATCTCTAGAATACCGAGCGCAGGCTCCTTGGGATTATGGACATTGAAAGCTAACTTATTCCTTCGTACACCGCGTTAGTCGCCTGAGATCCAAACAATGTACTCGCTCAACATTCCCGTCTCCGCTATCCGTACAAAGATCCGACAGGAGTTTGAACGCCATCGATACGTTAACCAGTTAGCCGCTGTCGATGTGCTTCTATTCCAGAGCCATGCTGAATATCAGGTATGGAAACCAAGCCATGCACCTTTTTTCTTCCCTTGGTTATGCGGCAATGTTTGCGCTTGGGTATTTGTGGTGATAGCTGCCGTTACTGGCCTTCCCATTCGTGTGATGAGGATGTAGAACAGTTCTAACATATATATTCGGATTCCATAGGAAACTCTGAATTACTGGAAGCAGCTCTCTCATGTGATGAAATACTTCCGTGTTGAGGAGGATCCAACGGCAAAGCTCCCCAAAAACTTCATGCAGGGCTTTCTAGAAGTACGTAAACTTATCCCCTCATGGAATCGCACTCTTATTTTACTCTCATTGCTTGTATCATGTTTGGCTAAGATCAGACGATCAATTACAGGGTCGGAATTGAAGTACTCTTCTGCGTTCTGCCTCTTACTTCTATCTCCTTTGGGGTTTCTCTTCGCGTACCATAGAATGTACATATGTTCAATCACGCAATGCACTTGATATGATTCGGTTCAAAGGTCTCCATCTGCCCCGATCCGTTGCAATCTATCAACGAAGTTCCATCTGAGATACCCTGTACCACCCCAGCAGGAACGTCTTAACACTATGATATAACGCCGGTTCGCCCAATCCAAATACCTGACAAGATTCTTTTTAGAACCAACCCGCGGATTTATCTATGAAATATCATCAAATAAACACCGAGATTAAATCATTATTGCATTTTATTCGTTTCAAAATCATCTCTTGCAGTTGTGAAAGTCTCTGTTACAACATCGCAAAGGTCAATGAGGTCACTCAATCCTTTGTCAAGCACTTCAAATACATTCGTCGAGGCTGGACACATTTGTTACTTTTAAATTCTTAGTGAGGAACAGCGAGCTTACCATAGGTTTGGATGCGAAGGTTCATCTTTGTCTCTGAAGGATGGGGCATGGTGTAGCCACAAAATTCAACGTCGGGACTGGGTAGATAGTAATGTTAGTATGTGCTTATGCCACTGTGCGATCAGAATCCAAGGCTTATACATCAGCCTCGGTTCTGCGGCATTATGAAGCGGACTCACTTCTTCATTATAATATATCTCAGCGCGTTTCCTAGTGTATGATCCTCTCCTTCGAACTGGAACGATGCCGCCGTCTCGGAAGCGCCTGGCAACTATACAGAAGTAACCTTCAGTAAATCCGCACTTTGTACAGCAGGCAATGTATCCACTATGCAAATCAAAAATGTGCCGACATACAACTGTGATTCTCTGTTTCTCAAACTCCGCCGCGTGAATCTCTTCCTCTAGTTCATCCGGGTTTTGCTCCTGCATTTCCGTGTCATTCAACGGCGCGTCGTCGGCCATTGTTTGGTCACGGTCATTGGATCGCACGGAGGATGGCATGGCCACAAAAGTGTCCGTATCTAATACGCAATACTGTGCTGACTCGAGAATAGCTCTCTAACGGGATATTTTATTAGGGCTTTGTTGCTACCCGGCGTCTTCTAGAAGGTGTCAGCAAAGTTTGATTGGAGGGTGAAATAGGCCCGGACAAGCCAGTGTAATATGTAGAGAATACACTCTTGCAATGTAATTCTGCGACACCGAGAAATTTAATCTAGGAGAGGTGAAAAGAACCCGAAGTCGTTAAGCTCGTCTTCTGCTCGGCCAGTGTCGAAAAAAGCGAGTCACGTGATTTGACGCTAAGGATCGGATAAGATAAGATATGACAACGACTGAGCGAGCAAACTGCCAATCGCCGCAGAAGGGGAAGCCTTCAACGTCAACGCCTCTGGATGGAACTTATTATGGATGTCCCAAGCTCTTTTGTGAATTCGGATTATTTCTGATGAGGCCACTATGATCAAAAAGTGTCTTAACGACGTTTAGGCCAATATGGGTTGTTAAACCGCACAGGAATATAAGTAGCGTATAGCCTTTGAAGCTAGTTGCGATCAGCACCGAATCTAAAGTTTACGTCTTGGAAAGAGACCTGCTTCTGTAAACACTCACTACGTAATGTTTATCTATATATGAATATGCCATCATGTTTATGTATATACCTTCGATATCAATCATCTCTCCACTGTACAAATACCTCATCCGTCCTAAATCTCTGTGTACAAGTTGAATCCTCTAGTTTGGTTGTGAATCCGGTTTTATATGCCAAAATTCCTGCCTGAGCGATCATGATCCCGTTATCAATGCAGAATCGCTCGTCTGTCGCAAAAACGTTCCCACCTCGATCGCGAGCCATTATTCCCATCATCTCTTGCAACCGCTCATTACATCCCACCCCGCCGACGATAAGAACTTCTCTAGAGCCGACATGTGCCATCGCGCGCTCCGTTATCTCAACCAGCATGGAGAAGACGGTTTCTTGCAACGAGAAACAGAGGTCTTCTCGAGTGGGGATTCCGCCTTCGTTATTGTACTTGTCCACCGAATCAACTTTGAGCTTCAGGGCATCCTCTGTAAGGCCAATATTTTCCTTCGCTTGTTGGTCTCCACTCAATCCATATGCTGCCGCTAATGCATCAATAGCGGCTAGAATTCCCGAGAAAGAACAGTCCATTCCCTTCACGGTATATGGTAGCTCCACCAGTCTCTTGCCCTTCTTCGCCAATTGCTCGATATTGTATCCGGGCGCAGGGTCGTTAGAGATATGTAGCGTGCGCGCAAAGCGGTCGAGACAGTTACCCACGGCGATGTCGAGTGTTTCCCCAAAGATGCGGTATCGCTGGGAGCTGTATGCAATCACCTGGGTGTTCCCACCGGAAACGTAGAGCACGATGGGATTTTGGGCCCCAGTGATATAACGGCCCATTTCAATATCTAGGAGTCGAAATCAGTAAATATTTGCCAATTGCTAAGGCATAGAACCTTTAGATTATGGGCTACATACGTCCCACGCAGTGATTAACCCCGACCAATTGCTTCCCCCAGAGTAAACTCAGCGTGCGGGCGGCCAGAGCTACACTCTGTAACGGGGGTCCCATCCCAGGTCCCTTGGTATAGCAGATGCAATCAACATCACTAACACCAATTTCTGCCTCTTTCAATGCGGCTTTGACTAAAGATACCACCCATTTGCGGTGGTGTTTTGCTGTGTCCTTGGGTAGAAAGCCTTCTCCGGGCGGGGAGACATAAGTGTGACGAATGTTCGCGAGGACTCGCGGTTCGCCACCATTATCTGGATGGAGGATAATACCAACCCCTAGCTTGTTAGCTGATCCTTCAAGGCCGATGGCAATCATACTGAACCAATCAGGCCAATAATGCGACGATGCATATTGCCAACTCTAATCGCAGGAGGTTACCAAAATAGCCAGCGACGGCCAAGCCCTTATCGATAAAGCAGCTGGGCGCAGAGTGGGGCTTTTATCACGTGAACGTTAGGTCTGAAATATCGGATCGGACTATCTCTTATCCGGAACAGTTCACCATTGCTATTTGGGTGCTACAGTTAGTACACCTCTTCCTCCCACAGATCTGCACAATTTCTGCAACACACAACCCCTTTCTCTCTTCCCTTTTTCCATTGTCAGTTTGACCTTTGTCTCCTTTGTCTCCTTTGTCAGTCTCGACTATTCTTACCCTGTTCTACATTTACATTTTCTGCTGCGTCCCCCTGAGAAATGAACACTGGTGCAGAGGATGAGTTTGCCCAGAGGTCCAACGGTTTTATGGGCTGGCTCAAACAACACCCTGGGGTAAGGGTAAACCCCAAGATTAGAATTGCGGATCTGAGGCCCACTGGTGCTGGCAGAGGCGTTGGTAGGCTTTGTGTGCTCCTTTCTTGAAAATTTTAGCCCGTGCTGACTGGAAATAGTCGCGTGTGAAGAGATTGTCCAGGATGAAGAGTTGTTTGCCATTCCTGAAGATTTAGTGCTCAGCGTTGCGAACTCGAAGGTAAAAGACCGTATAAACTTTGCTGATGAGAACTTCGATACTTGGTTATCCCTCATTGTTACCATGATTTTCGAGTATCTTCAGGGTGGGGTATCGAAGTGGTCACCATATTTTGGCGTCCTTCCCACAGATTTCGACACACTCATGTTTTGGACAGAAAATGAACTTCGCGAACTACAAGGAAGCTCAGTCTTGGACAAGATCGGAAAACAGGAGGCTGACCAAGTTATTTTGGATAAAGTCCTGCCAGTTGTTCTTGAACATCCTGACCTTTTCCCGCCGGTCAATGGACTCGCTTCATTCGACTCCCCGAGTGGTAAGGAAGTCGTACTTCAATTGGCTCACCGGATGGGCACACTTATTATGGCGTATGCCTTTGATATCGAGATGGATCAAGATGAAGACCAAGATGGCGAGGATGGCTATGTTACGGATGATGAACAGGAGAAGGCGAAGGGAATGGTTCCCCTCGCGGATCTGCTCAATGCAGATGCTCATCGAAATAATGTAAGTGTCCTCCTTTGACCAGGCGCCAGACTAGGTTTAATCAGTTCATCAAGGCTCGGCTTTTTCAGGAGGATGGATATTTCATTATGAGGTCCATAGCGCCCATTAGCATCGAAATGGAGATCTTTAACGACTATGGTGAACTTCCCCGCTCAGACCTCCTTAGGCGATACGGGTACATCACCGAAAATTACGCTCCATATGATGTTGTCGAGATCTCCCTCGAGGCAATTTGCAACATAGCCGGTGTTGAGGAAGGTTGCTGTCAGGTAAGGTTACCAGTGTCCGATGATTAATATTTTTGTAACCCACACTGACAATATTGTAGCTTGAGCTTCTAGAAGATGCCGGAGTTCTCGAAGATGGATATGCCCTCTCCCGACCTGAGGGTGACGCCATCACAACGGAGGCCATCCCGGCGGAGTTGCTTATCCTCTTGCGAACCTTGAGGAGTCCTCGAAAAGATTTGGATCAGATGAGAAAGAAGGGAAAATTGCCCAAGGCGGAGCTTGACAAACCTTGTGCGAGGCTCTTGGTCGAGATCCTCCAAAATCGGCAAAAGGATTACCCCACAACAATTGCGCAAGACGACGAATTGCTTCAAGCTCTTGGTTCCTCGCAGGTCCATCGCCGAGAAATGGCTGTTCGAGTGAGGAAAGGGGAGAAAGAAATATTGCAACTCCTCCTCGACAAACTCCTCATGTATATCAATGGAACCGCGGAAACGGAAAAAGGGCAACCGAAACGGCCCATGGCCCAAACTGCGCAAGAAAGGAAAAAGCAAAGAATGAAATAATTTTTGATAATGAAGAAACAGTGAACTGGTTCAAAACAGTCTTGAAAGGACTAGTTGAAGGGGTTTCAAATTTTTATTTGCTTTTCATAACTAACTTCGGTAGTAGCTTACACGGATCTATCCCGATGCCGTCGGAATATGTACACTAACAACCAGTGCAAATGGAGGTTCAACATAGGCCTCAGCGCATCCGTCCTAAAGTCCTTGACCCAGGAAATGCACCGATTTCGTACAACATTTGAGTTTGGAAAGGCGGGTTATCGATGGTGTGTGGTGAGGGCCGATCGAAAGTGGTGGTCTCAAGAGGGGCTCAAAAAATCAGGGGTTCGTGATCGCATGGGGAAAGGCTAACAACATCTATGAGGGGAGCGGATTAAGAGACGAGGGTTGAGGGGCTTTAGGGGGAGGATTTGGAGCAGTTGGAGTACCACCACCTTGGGAACCGACTAGCAAACGTCTACCGTTTTGTGCGGCGGCTTGGGCTTGAGCTTGAAGCTGAGCTTGGATCGCCTGATCTCTTGACGATTTTGCGTGAAGGTACGCTCTGTGCTGCATTATCTGGGTGTTGAATTCATCTCGCTCATATACCGGATCGACCTCGTCATCGTCCTGGTCATATTTGAAGCGATCTAATTGCAGTGGATCGATATCATTCCTGCTACGGAATGGGAGATTCCTGCGATCAATCATCGTGCGACCACCTCTACCAATGCGACGGCGGAAGCAGGGCATTCCTCGTCGTGATTGGTCATCGGTTGTATCTGTGGTTTTGTGTATTACGGCAAATTTATCGTCTGGCCCTTCTCTCGATACGTCTTGCATCGCGTCGGAGGACTCTGAGGTGGGTGGAGTGGGGAGATATTCGGTGATAGCTGGTCGGAAATCAGAGCCATCGAAGGTCTGTTGTGGAGGTTTCGGGGTAAGTGGTGCTCGAGTCATATCTACATATCCCTCATTCCACTTTGCATGCTTTACAACATTCTGTTTGATGTCGCGGGAGATTTCATTTTCCTTGTCAGCTTGGACATCTTCCAGCAGTCTCAATTCATCGACTGGCTGCCCAGCTGGCCTTGCAGGAGTACGGAGTTGAGGAATGGTCGGCCGTGCTGTGGTTGCGACTTCTGTTGGTTTCTTCTTGGGCTGAGCGGATGTTAGCGGACGAACTTCCTCTCCAATAGAAGGGATATATACCTTCTGGTTGATGAGATCTTCATCATCATCTGTGATACCCAGTTTGCGCTTCATTTCCTTGACCTCAGCGCGCTGCATGAACAATTGTCTATCGATGGTAAATTGTTCTTTTCTTGCAATTTCGCGCTGTCGGACTAGAGCAACCAGCTGCCTGGCATCCTCTAGTTCTTTTCTAAGGCGACGGAGCTTCTCCGCGCTTTGTGCATCTCTGCCGCGAGTTTTACGGGCTTGTCGGACCTCTCTACGTCGGAAGCATACATACGGGTCGCTGTCGTCGGTGTCCTGTCCGCATTCGAACTGCATTGGAATTTAGCAAATCAACTCCGCGACGAACTTCAAAAATCTGGGGATATCTACCTTTAGGCTTGGTTGGAGCGGACAATTGCCAAGCTTATTCCGTCTCAATTTCCAGTGTTCGTACACGCCCTTGGAAAACTTTTTCAGATTTTCGTCATCTATTCCGTCGAAACACTCTTCCATTTCTTCATACGGAATTACAGGAGGATTGTCAACTGCCGCGAAAGGCTGCTTCGTATGCGCCGTCTCTTCGAAGAAGCTCATCAACTCTTCAAATTGATCTTCGGTGCATTGCGTCGACGCATCCGCTTTTTGGTTCATGATCTTCAAAGCGATATCATCCTCCTCCACCATATTATATGGACACCCGCAACAATCTTCGACCGTCGATGAGAATCGTATATATGTTGCGGGCTGCGAGAACGTTGGGGGATACAATTTGTCATATTGAAGGGAGCTGGTAACCGTCTCCGGCGTGGGAATATGCGCTTTCTGCGATGCATTTCCAAGGGACGCCGCATTAATGGCAGCCTGAAGATGGTATTCCTATTGTTCAAGTGGTGGTTAGCCCCTATTCATAGCTCAGAGCTCTGGACTCCACGCGGATACAATGCACCTGATCACGTGATCGTGACAAGGCTACATGAAAAATTTGCATGAGCAACACTTACGCTCTCCTCGGCCTTCTCAACGCCGGTTTCAATATTTTGTAATGTTGTTTGAAGATCATCTTCCGCAAGGTCGATTTGGTGATCCCTGTAGATGGGTATAGGTTGCTTTGGTGTGAGTTTTTTGGGTCGCGTAGACCGCATCATTCCCCCGAGCCGCGACATAAGTCTGGCGCGATAACACAAAATCTACCATAAGCAATAGGGCCCAAATTGGGTGTCAAACTGTAGCCTAGCTCATGTGCAATGACAGAATATAATTTTTATAGCAATGGAGTGATGTTGTGGTGAGAAAATCGAATTTCAAAAATGGTGGCAAGTCAGTGGTTTGATGAGTTGATGTTGCGATGCAGCCACAGAGAGGCCTGTTTTGGGCAGCTGGCTGGGCTCAGGGGTGCGCTAAGCCTTCCATTTCGGGTTAGTGCGGGGCGGATCAATATCAGATTCACCGAAACCTGGAGAATTACCTCTTTGGGTTAGCCCAGCCTTATCAATGTAGGCGGCATCCATCATCAGCCTGTCCTTATTAATTCATTGAGGAGCTTGCCCAGCTTCATTGTCCGTCACTGTTCAATGAGCCTGCTGTGACAGTCGGTCTTTTTCTTTATTTCTAACACCTTATACCTGGTGTACTGTCCATCCCTCACGACTGCCACCATGACTGAACAAGACAACAATGCAGAATCATATGACGCAACAAAGCGGCAGCAAACCAGTTCCAGCTCGCAAGTCCTAAATGATATTGTGTCAGGATCTAATTGTGAGAATTTCCCTCCACAACACCTTTCCTCACTTTATGATACATTGCTAACCTAGGCGCTTCTCAGTTGATCATGAAGAAGTTGACAGGCTGTGGAAACGCTTCATGAAGTTGGATAGAGTAAGTAAACAACATTTACAGTGATATTGAATTGTATTGGCGATAGTTAATGCTTATTCTAGGATAAATCTGGCACTATCGAGCGTGATGAATTCCTTTCCCTCCCACAAGTCTCTTCGAACCCGCTTTCAACCCGGTAAATCCACATCTTCATCCACATCTTCTTCCCCTGAGCATGGAAGCCCATTTTAGAATGTCCGCCTGACAAGGTTGCGATCAGAATGATAGCCATCTTTGACGAAGACGGCGGTGGTGATGTCGATTTCCAAGAATTTGTGTCCGGCCTATCAGCGTTCAGCTCAAAGGGCAACAAAGAGGAGAAACTCCGTTTCGCATTCAAAGTATACGATATCGACCGCGACGGTTTTATTTCCAACGGAGAATTGTTCATTGTATTGAAGATGATGGTGGGAAGTAATTTGAAGGATATGCAGCTACAGCAGATTGTTGACAAGACGATCATGGAAGCTGATTTGGACGGCGACGGGAGAATAAGTTTCGAGGAATTTACAAGGATGGTGGAAAATACAGATGTTAGTATGAGTATGACATTGGGTGAGTGGCCTATTGATTTCTTTCCATATCCTTTCAAGTGGAATGTTGCTCAACCTGCGAACAGATCAATTCTAAGCACCTTTGGCGGAAAGTTCTCGGCATAAGTCTGATTGGCATGGCTATGTGCTCTTTCATGCTTGAACAAATGATATCCTTTGATGAACCTTGCCCTATGTTGTTTTTACGCCGTGCAAACTGAGGATCGAAACCCAGCATTAAGAGCACCGGGCGGTCCAGGATACGACCCTTAATGAACTGGATTTATTAGACGAACCTGAATGTTATCGCATGTTTCTTGTGGAACTTGACGAATTTTCTCAGCCACTTCCAACTTGCTCTTCAGCTCTATCTAACAAATATTGATATGTTCTTGCCCGGAGTAACCTGCAATCAAGTAACACAAGATAGGCTGTCAGTTGCTTGGGAATTGGCGTATCGACTTGGATTAGCTATGTTTTCTTCTATGGACTGACAATAGCGTGATCATTGAAGTTGAATATGAGAACCCGGCAATTTTACATGCCCAACTAGGCTACTAACGAAGGTGTCCGGAATGTTTGTTTGCTAGTCCGGTTCGCAATCGACTCCTACCTGGCACCAACGAAGCCTTCTTTTGTATGTCATACCACAGCTCCGTACGGCGTACGGCTTATCCATAAAATAAACCGACTTACAATCCAGTAGTTATCGCCATGCACTTCACATCACCCGTATCCAGGTAGTCCCGCTAGATCACACGCGTTGGGCACCGGTTCCCCAGGGCTCTGGTCTAGCTTAAGCAGGTACACCTCCGAGGACGGGCTTCAGGGAGTTTGCCTCGTTAAACCACCCATGTAACACAGGAACCGCAAAGTCGTCCTACTAACGCCCTGAATCGGTAAAAAATCTTTGCCGGACGGGTATTCGCTTCTCAATGTCCCGTGAACAAACTAGCAGCGTCATAGAGCGTGGCCAGGGCAATTTTGGACCGGCCTGCTGAGATATTAAAACCGAATGTCGAGCATGATCGGATGGACAAAGGAATCAAGGGCAACGCATACATTATGCTACCATGGACATTCCGATACGTAAAGGTGATGTATAGGTCCAATGAATAATAACATTGCCGATCCCGTGCTTTTGTTGGGCATCAAGCAGAAGGGGATACCGGTTCACCAAAGGTGATATTCAAGTACCAATTCCTCCACCAAGGCGAGTGCCTCAGATTCAACTGTGGATTTTTGTGGCGATATCCTGTTAATTCTCCACTGAATCAGCTGTCATCAAAATGTCTTGAATTTGTATGGGCGAATTCCCACTCCAATTAAGGGATATTACTTATTCGTCAGCCAGCAGGCGCGAGGAAAGGTAAACACAGAATTAGTCCGGAATAATAGCGTCAGCATCAACATAGAAATCAGTTCGCGCATCGCACTCCAGCCCAACAACAGGAGCACAATTGTGAAAACATAAGGTCAGGGTAACACAAACAGAGCTTGGGGGATATCAAATTAGAGGGAGGGAAGAGTACGCAGCAAACTCCGAACAGAGACGGTAGAGAGAATGAAAAACAGAAAATTATTTCCAAGTACCGGAACACCACCAGTCCCAGTGCTTGACGCCGCATAATGCTCGCCGAATTGCTTCGATGCCACTTTATCCAATCCGTTCCCCACACCCACGAGGGGAAAAAAAGAAACCAAGGCACGGGAGTCAAATAGCAAATGTAAGCGGAAAGCGTTAATAATAAGAGCAAGGAAAATAAACCCCGAGGAAACCAATTTCAAACCATTCACTCCGAACCGAGTCTATACCACTCTAAAATCTAGGCCATGGGATATCATCGATGCTTCGTTTCGCTGGAACAGAATAAGCAAAATAACCCTCCCGTATCGGAAGTATGCGCTGAACAATTACAATAGTTGAATCGTGAGGGCGATGGAAAAGAGTATCGTGGTCGCTCGCGTGCGATGGTGGCCTCCTGTGAGGCCTTGCACTTGACGTATTAAAGGTCTAATAAATGAAAGCCGACGTCAAATATCGGTGGCGTCTCGAGAATACGAAGGTAAAGTCACAATTACTGAAGGAAAACAATCCAAAAACAGGAGGTTAGCGACCGACAGTGCCTGTTTGGCTGCGGCTGGCTGAAGTCGTGTCTTCGTATTCTTCCAAAAGATCGAGACATTGGCTGAGAACTATGATCTGTAACGTCAGTAAACTACATACAAGAGCAAATCGGAAAGATAGAGAAGATTGTTTTCAACTGACCGCTTAGAATCTCCTCTTCCCACACACCCATTTGATAATCAACTAAACCGTATTGTTCAATTCTGTCACATAAACGAACCAAATCTTTCCCCATTTTATTAAGTATTTCTTCTGTGAGAATTTCCTGCGATGAAGGCCCGGATTCCAACATGCCTTGCGTCGTGTCTTTTTGCTTTTGACATAGGGCCAACCAGCACGTATTAAATTCATCCCATAGTTTGATGCGGTCGGTGTGTAAATGTTCTTCGTCGCGTACAAGACCTTGGATCAGTTATTAGCTCGAAATGGGTTGCTCCCCTAGTCTATGCTGTGACTAAAAGAGAGCTAAAGAAAGGCTACATACCAAGGTCCACAGCATTCCCAAGTAACCATTCTGACATTTCAAGGAGAGATCGACTCGCAGTAATCAGGCGGCCAATACGAATATTTTCGAACGTTTGCCTTAAAGCTTGCTGGTACCGATTATATGCATCCTCCAGGCCAGATGAAGGCTCCCGTAGCCGTTCGGACGGGTTGGGAGGCTCCGGCGCAACGGATGTATTAAATCCGGCCATAGTCTCGGGGAATGAAGTCGCAATATGCGAGCGAGTAGCAGAATGAGGTTGGGAATACGGGGTCTGCTGAACTTGTGTGGTTAAGTAATGGGTGGATTCAGTCGCTGGGGACTCGTCGGTCGGGTAGTACTGCGGAACACCAAACTGTGTCGCCAGAACTTCAATAGCTGCAGAGTGCCGTGGCTGATAATGTGAAGCAGTATCATATGGAGAATGCGGTTGAGCCTGCGGTGCAATATTGTAAACCATTCCGGGGTCGTACTGCTGTATTCGCTGCTGCCGTTGTTGATCCTGATGGCCTGACTGCTGCGTCGCCTGCGACTGATTTTGCCTGGATGAAGATGTAGAAAAATCTTGCTGATAGGGCATTGCTCCACTCTGCAGTGGCCCGCCTTGGAGCGATGGTGCATTGTAGGATGCTGACTCGGCGTACTCGAAACCACCGTACGGGTGGAGTGAAGGATTACGACTCTGGTGTGCCACCGTATCCACATGAAGCCCACGAGAAGCTGGGGGTTGATTGTTATCCCTAAAGCGATTTATGGGACTCTCCTGAGAGTGATGAAGCGGCCGAGACCTCCCTATGCCGCCAGCCGTTCCGTGCGCAGAGAGGTCGTACTTCTTGCGCTGGCTGCTGTCTCCATCCATTCCCCTAAGCTGCTCTGAGGCGGTCCCGCCTCGCGACGAATCGAAATATGGAGATCGATGCGTCGGAGGCGAGAGGGGAGGGCTGGCGTAAAATTCCAGTTTTGCTCTTTGAGCGGGACGTGCCAAAAGGGCGGCGTGGATCAAAGAGGCGCGTCTGCAAACAAAGCGTTATTCTGCCGGTAAAAATTGCTGAAACGAAGGTCTTTCGTGTGTAAGATCACCGAAACTAGAGGGCCCCTTGTGCAATGGGGCAGCAGGGATGGCTGAAGTAAAAGTCGGCAGGGGAAGTTGTGTTCAGAGACCAGCCAATTATTCAAATCGCGCCCATGCCAAAGCCAAAAACCAAATGCTGACAATGTTCACTGTGTTGTCGTCGCTAAAGTAATGCGCGTCGAAATATATTGTGATGATATCCGAAATTAGGGAATTGCATAAACAAGGGCATTGCACTGGTTGGTAAAAGAGCGTTGAACCTGATAATTGTATATTAGACTTTGCTGACAGATACAGATGTGCAAGGAAGAGAGGTGGCACCAGACCATGAAGCGGCTGTTCAGGTGCACCTGGTAGCAAGAGTGGGCAGGGAAGGTCGAGTATAAGTATTGATCAAATGCTGGTCCTAAGAGGGACAAGTATCAATATATTAAGTTTAAATCAGCGAAGGATGACCCGATATCGCTTGTTTGGGCGAATCCACAGGGTATGCGGGGGCAAGAGGAATTGAAATATTTTAAGCCGTTCTTCAAAAAGAAGAGGGAAAAAAAAGTAATCATGAAGGGCGAGAAAAACCGTAAATCAAATAAAGCCGTGTCATAAAAACACTGCTGACAATTACACCTTACCTGCCTCAATAACCGTTGTCAATCAAATGTGGAGCAAAACCGAGCCTTATAAAACCTAGACCCGAAAGCTTAGACGGCCCCTATTTCTTCATCTCCAGTGGCCGAAAATGCAGGGTCACCGGCGGTCAAATGATAGCACGGAGGGAATTATTATCGATCTGCAACCGCAGCAACACTCAGCACCTGTGACAGTTAAAATCGCCCGAAGCATTCCTGGAAGATTCATCCACGTAAACCTCACGAAATTCAATGGCATTAATTGTTGTTTCTTCTCGGACGTTCCTCTGTGTTCATGGCGTCGTGTCTGGGTGCCTCAGCATTTCAAACCGGATAGGAGAATGAACTCGGAGTACGGAGTAGTTAAAAGGGCATCGGGAAGACTGGAGGTGGTGAACGAAAACAACCCCGGATACGCCACCGAAAATTTTTCTTCTCTAACATGCGATTCCCGCAGATGGATATTGATGATTGGTCAAGATTGGGGACGCAAGTCATCTGTCGAGATTTTCACTGTGGGCTAAATGAGTCGGCCTATGGGACAGACAAGGTGACTGTCTCTTTCGAAGAGAGAGTCTTCAACATCCCGGTCTAGCCTCATCAGCTTCTAGAATGTGAGGATCGTTCTGAAGTGCAAAATTGCACATGGGGATCTGCCGGATACTGAACCTAAATCAGGTGAGACACCATCATTGGCATCTCCCCAAATCACAAGCAAGATAGCTAAGGATAAGCGAAGTGAGCCGACACTTGTGATAGCGTGTTGTGTCGTCAATTATCAGATGTGGAGGGGAATCTTCCCCTGGGTTAAAATTGCGGAACCAGACACCTAGATCAAACCAGGCGTCGCCAGCTGAGAATCAGGAGAATGTCTTAGCGCGAAGTGGAGGCATGCTTGATCGCCTGACGCTAACCTCTGGACAAAACCATGGTGAACCACACCAATGCCAGGAAGATGGTTGTTTCAGGGCAAGCCACAGATAACATTGTCAAAAACCAACTCAGCTTTCTGATGGATGAGGAAGAACACGTTGAAGATTCCAAAGGACTTCAAATTCTGGTCACGGACATAACTAACTAATAAGCCAAGACATTTTTGCTTGACTTGTGAAGAGCCGTGGTTAGGAAGTTTGAAGAATTCGAAGCCAGATGGCATGAAATATCCTACTCTCTCAGACACTGGTGAATACTGACAAAACAGGGCCAGGGGTTAAGATTGACCATTTTGAAAATTGTTTTAATTGGTTTAAACCCATGGGCAGCATTTCCATTTCGTCATGATGTCTTGCGTTGAGTAGCTATCGCCATCATTCTGTGCCAGCACGTCTGTATTGTCGAGGGCGTCGAGCCCTGAAAACACTGGGGTTATTAAGGCAATTTCATCGACGTAACATGCCAGGTGTAACCACAAAAAGCAGCAGGTCGAAAGCTCCAGTGCGGGTTTTGTACACTGCATCAGTCAACCAACGAGTTGGGTGCAGAGATCGCCCCGATACCGAGAGCGAGCCTTTTCGACAGCGTAAGCGGCGAAGATGAAGTTGGCGTGGAAGTCCGGACGTAGGCAGATGATATGAGGCTCAACTGCCAAATTCGGTCGGTGGTTAACTTAAATGGCACCACAACGCTCCGCCCACGTCCAGTTTCGCCGTCAGCACTGCCTTTTCCGCATACCATTCTATTGACGATCGTGGTCGTGCTCAGCTGGACTCTATCCTGCCGAGCACGAACGCCGTCCTGAAAATAGGAGAAAAAAAAAATCCTACCTGCTTAGGGTAATCCTCTCTCAAACTGTTGATTCGCCAGTGGAAGAGCGGCCCGGGATCTTTAGCAGGCAGTCCGAAAGCTACAGCCTGTTTGGCCCGAGTTTCGCTGGCCTTGAGGCGCAACTCCAGAATGATCTTCAACGGCGTAAGCATGAGCCGCCTTGATTTTAGTTTGATCTAACCTGCTGCATGTCACGATTTGGAACTCCGGAGAACATAATCTAACTACGGAGTATCCAAGTGCCCTTTTTCTCCACCTGCAAAAATTCACGGAGATATGGCGGGTGTGTTTACCCTGCTACGCCCTCTGATGGTGCTGATTCGGAGCAGAGCTCAGTCACATCGCAGGAGATGTTGTTGAGTCAATTCCTACAGGAGATCGCCGTACTCTCTTGGAGCTGACTTGAATCAAGCCCCCTCCGACGAACAGAATGCTCCCTTCGACATCTGTTCTGCCACATGTAATGATTGACACAGGGATGGAGATCCACTGGTCGAAGTTCACCAACAGCCAATACGATCGATCTTCTTCTAGAAGTCCTTCAGAAGGGCCAGGGTGAGTTTCAGAGGAGGCGCTAGTTAATTGACTAGTGCACACTCTCTTGCATTGAGCGCAATTAATCAGGGGCGCGCTACCGAGGAGTGATATCGCTATCAGTTGTGTGGAGCCTCTCGGAATTATTAAGGGTGTCAGTTAACGATTCCAATGATTTTGCTCTTCTCCGTCCGCCGTATTCCGTGCAGAGGAACTAACTTGCTGGGCTAAGCTTGCTTTCCCGCGGCAAAGACGACTTGAAAATAAGCGACTTTTGTTGGTCGCAAAAAACGATGCCATGTCCTTCCCATGCAGTTCTGAATGCGACGTTAGGGGCTTGTTCACGCTCGTACTACGTCCTCAATGTGTCCTCTCGTCATGACTGGCGTACTCTGGACTTGGTCAAAATACGAAAGATGGCAAAGAACCAAGCCCGCGGAAATTGTGCCAGGTGATTCCCGAATGGCATACTAATCCTCCAGCTGATCATTGTTTGAAGCTTGGGTCAGATATTACCCGGCGTCAACAAATGGAAGCCGACCCCGCACGTTATGACAGTAACTCAACACTTTTCCTTTCGAAGCAGGAGCCTCAATTAGCACGCCCGCTTGTTTATCCCTTGCCTTCACTTATATAGTATGGGGATAGCTGCTGGCACTCCTGTGCGTCTGGTTACAGTCTGAGTCAAGACTTGACATTCCCGAGCCCGACAACGAAGGCCCAGAGAAGGTCATTCCGTTTTATGGGAAAATGGAAGACGCTTGATAGACCGTCCGTATGCAGAAGTTCCTATTACCGGTTTACCAGAAGAATCTTTAGTTAAGGCGTCGAAATTCGAGGGCAGGGTTATGAGCAGCAAAATGCCCTTCATTCTACTCTTTTACTACTTTGACGGAGCCCTGTTGAAAGTCATGAGGAGGTTTCAAAGGTGATGCTTAAGCACAGTGAATAAATAAAAATAAAAAGAATAGTTGGCACTCTGTAGGGCTGACCCGGATTTGAACCGGGGACCTTGGGATCTCTATATCCAAGGGTTAGCTTGCTGCTGAGATGCATCTGTCTTAATTCGCCACTTACGCAATCCGACGCGCTAACCGCTGCGCCACCAGCCCTTGCTCGTCACGGCGACGCTGGGCCTGAGGTCAAGGTCAGGATCGATAACATCGTCTGCAATTCAATGTTTGTTTCGCGGAAACAACGAGGTCGCAACAAGGAAGAAGGAGGCCCGAGCTTCTGTCACCACCCTGATTCCTTTTTTTTCCCCCCCCCTCTTCAGCACTGGCTTCTCATTAGACCGTGCCTCGAGGTATGACCCCTGCTGGAAAATAACCTAGTTACGGAGTACAATAGTGATGTTTCCCTGTACGGGGTGCAACCCTTGCGGACGTGCGACATTGAGCATCTTTCTGCAAAGTCCAGGCCAGAACACAGAGGTTTTTGATCAATGCTCTTCCTGGTCCTTCTGGGATTTAACCCACTTTAGGGCTGTGTGACAAGATACAAATCATTTCCTAGGGGCCTTTGCTTCAGGGGATTGTTTTATTAAACATTTCAGTTTTGACCACCCGACCGTTATTTTTTCTCCAATTGACGTAGAAATACGCCGAAAGCGGCCGGAAGATCGACCTAACAATGGCATGATGCACTTCGCACGTCCTTTGGGGCATTATGGTGTGCGTGATGCGGCAAACCCGCTTCGTACGTCTGCGGCCTCAAGATCGATGCCGGCTTCTGAGCCTGTTCGCTAGCAAAATTTCATTTTTTACCGAGGAAATCCAAAACACCCGAAGCCTGGGTACTACGGAGTACAATGTTGCTCCTTTTTTCTTGTGGGGAAGCAAAAAGCCTGTTTCGGACCGCAAATGGCGCGCGATTGTTCTCATGTGCCAATCTCCGACATCTTTGCTACGCGCAGCTACAGATAAGGAGACATTCAGCTACTTGATCCTGAACGCACACCGCGGAAGCTTCGGATGCTAGCAAAATGCAGGAACGGTGGCTCTGTCAATGAGGTGATGTTGTAGCCGCATTTCAGCAGCGTTACTCCCTACAAGAGACAGTGAGCTGCCAGCGGGCCCTGTTAACAGTGGAGACATGGAATTCTAGCATTCTTCGCGCCATTACTTTGGAAAACTACGTGGCCAGAGTTACCTGGGATCATGCGTATCATGTGGTTGACGTCAGTCAATGCGAGGCGTATTTCGAACTTCTCGCTTCTTCTGCGACAAATAGCCGGGCTATACCACTTGTGAACCCTGAGGAGAACATTACATTGAGCATAAAAAAAAAAGAACCATGTGAGACTATCACGATGCCTCCCGTTGATTGTGTTTGAGGAAATATGAATGCCACGAATGTGCTAATGCCAAATCTATCTTTCTTTATTCCCACATGACCTACCGTGATGGTCGAGGAAGCATGGGGAATGGGTGTCTGAAACATGCCTAGCGCTGAGACAAGGATGGCCGGATTAAATTCAAGGCCATTGTTTCCTTGGTTTCTTTTACTTGAGGGCGCATTGATGTTACCTCTTTCTAGATCGTTGGTGGGCTCAGAATTCCTCGGAATGAGACCCCGGCGGGGGTTGGGTTTGTATGCTCAAAAGTTTTACTGGATAAAATTTCTTTCTTGCGTATATGGAGTATTCCAACCGTTGTAACGTTATATAAGGACAAGCCAAGACGCATAATGTACACGTGAAATACTGAGATGAGATAGGGAAAGAGGAGCTGAAAGAAATTACAGGGAAAAATGGGAAAAGAGTGATTACTTCATCTCTTGACCCAGGCTGGCTTCTTCCTGGCTTTGCGGTGCCCTGGCTTCTTTCTTTCGACTTGTCGTGGATCGGCCGTGATGACACCAGCTATTCAAAACGTCAGCACATCGTATGTCCAGACAGGGATCATTCAATTGGAAGAAGATATGGAACGCATGCTTCTGAGACAGCTGCAGATAAGAGGGAGTATTTGTCGAGGTGGATGACATTTGCTTACCTCGACGAAGCATTGGTTTCAATGCAGGCTCATGGATCAAAAGGGCTTTTGCAAGCGCCAGAGTGATAGCTTCAGCCTGACCAGTCACACCGCCTCCGTGAACCATCGCCCACACATTATACTTGTCCATTCTATCCGTGCTCTTCAAAGCCCACAGGGCACTCTCCCTATCGTGAATGCGGGGGAACACGTGTACTATACTCTTCCCATTGACCATGACCTGTCCATCGCCTTCAACCAACCAAACCGTGGCAGTTGAAGTCTTCCGTCTTCCAACACCCCGGGCCCGACCAATGTCGTCGAGCATTCGAGGAACGGGTTTTTGCTGATATGGGTTTCCCGGTCTGATGAATTGTTTCATGGCAGTTTCTACTTCTTCTGGCATCAAGCTAGGGTTAATCCTGCTGAGCCTTTGCAAGATCTTTATCAATTGCTTGTACTTTGAACTCGAAACAACCTCTCCGACAGCGCCGTTGAATTGCGATAACTTCAACCACGCCATCCGCGGCGCTTCGTTGGTAGGAACCGTCGGTAACGATGCATATTTGCTCCGTAGGCGCTCCAAGTTCAGGAAGTGGTCAATGAACTTTGGTGTTCCAGAAAAGTATGCTGGAGACGCGGGTAAAATCCGAGCTGGTCTAGCGTTTGGTTCGGCGAAGTTGATAGGCGGAGCGGCATTAGAAGAAGCGCTGGAAGAGGATATCGATAATAGTCGTCGCTGGGTGATCTGAATGGGAGTTAGAGAAGGGAGACGGGAGGGCTTTGTGGACGCCGTTCGGGATGGAAAAGCTACAGGCTCGAGATGATGTAGGCATTGGGATGGCTTTAGAGCCCGAAACACACATTCAGACCACTGCCAGGCCATGGCGTCTATCAGCCAGGCGGCGGAAAAAAAGGCAAAAGAAAAGTAGGGGCGTATGGAGCGGAGAGGCAGAGACTTGCTTCTCTCCCAATTGTCGTCCGCCAACGAGAAATCTTTTTGGCAGCGAAATGCAGTCACGTGGTGACTCTCATCGTTTACATAATCAATTTCTTAGTCAGCCGCACTAGTGGGCTCGTCGAAGCTCCACAACAACCAGCGTGAGAAAAAAAAAAACACGCAGAAAAAACAAACCTTCCCTCACTCCTGTCATCCTCACCCCGCCTTCACCTCAATTCCCCCATCCTCCATCAACACCCTCAGACCACCTCACCCAGTCCAGTCAGAATGTCGTTCGGCAAGCTCTACGGTGCTGCTGTAGGTGATTCTGCTCTTGTCTCGCTTGCACTGTCCTTCCAAAGTCACCGCAGGCTGACCGGGTCCGCCACGTAAATCACAGGAGAACTCACGCACCACTGCGTGCCGTATCGTTGCCAAAGCCAATGATCTCGATATCGAGCTCGTTGACACCAAGCCCGGCTCTCCCGATGCTGCTTACTTCAAGATCAACGCTCTGGGCAAGGTTCCAACCTTTGTCGGTGCCAATGGCTTCGTCTTGACTGAGTGCATTGCCATCGCCGTCTACCGTACGTTTCCTCTATTTCTAACTTCTTTTGCGGGCATTGTCAAAGATGAGGCATATTATCATTTTCAGTTATCCCTGTCAGATTAACTGTGTTGACTATCTTTACTCTGAGCACCTTTTGTCCCTCTAATTTGTACTATCGGTTCCAAATGCTTCGGATACCTGTCGAGCATGGCTGACGAGATATGTAGTCGCTTCTCAGAACGAGAAGACCACTCTTCTCGGAAAGACAAAGCAAGATTATGCCTCCATTCTCCGCTGGATGTCATTCACAAACCAGGAGATCCTTAACCCTCTTGCGGACTGGTTCCGTCCTCTTCTTGGAATGGCCCCATACAACAAGCAGGCCGTTGAAAATAGCTCCAAGGCCGCCCTCAAGGCCATTGATGTCTTGGAAAAGCACCTTACTAACAATACTTTCCTCGTTGGCGAGCGCCTTACTCTTGCTGACACTTTCTGCGCTTCTCTTTTCTCCCGAGCATTCCAATTTGTTCTCGGCAAGGACTGGCGCCAGGCCAACCCTGCTACTTCCAGATGGTATGAGACCGTGGTTAATCAGGCCATTTACAAGGCCGTTGTTCCAAACCCAGTTTTTGTTGAGGAAGGACTAAAGAACGTTCCACCCAAGAAGGAGGAGAAGAAGGCTGCCCCAGCCAAGAAGGAACCTGAGGAGGAAGAAAAACCAGCTCCTAAGCCGGCCAAGCATCCTCTTGAATCTCTCCCCAAACCATCCATGATCCTTGATGACTGGAAGCGCAAGTACTCCAATGAAGATACCCGTGAGGCTGCCATGCCATGGTTCTGGGAAAACTACAATCCAGAGGACTACTCCCTGTGGAAGGTTGATTATAAATACAACGACGAGCTCACCTTGACCTTCATGTCCAACAACTTGATTGGTGAGTTTCTAGGTGACCTTTCCTCCACAATAGCTATTAACGCGTTCATAGGTGGCTTCTTTGCCCGTCTTGAGGCTTCCCGCAAGTTCATCTTCGGTGCTTGCTCCGTGTATGGCGAGAGCAACAACTCCATCATCCAGGGAGCCTTCCTTATCCGTGGCCAGGATGCTGTTCCAGCTTTCGATGTTGCTCCTGACTGGGAGAGCTACAGCTTCACCAAGTTGGATGCCTCCAAGCCAGAGGACAGACAATTCGTTGAGGACCAGTGGGCCCAAGACAAGCCAATTGTCGTCGATGGCAAGTCTTATGAATGTGCTGAAGGAAAAGTTTTCAAGTAAATGAAAATAAGTAAAAATCCATGTGGCTCAACATGTGCGTCACAAGGCGTCCGATTTAATGTGATGACTTTTAGTCTTGTCGGCCCAAGCTGCGTGTCTCTAAATGATGAATTAAAATGATCATGAGAATGATGAAAAATGACAACCCTAGGATACATTATTACTTCCTTTCTACGAGTAGTCTTATCATTGTAAATCAGGTAATTGTTTTCTTTAGTGTTGAGGCCACAAAACTTCAAAAGTCCCATATCCCGGCAGAACTACTCGAAAACAAAACCTTCTATACCCAGGGCTCCGTACGAGATGCACATTGATACTAAAGCATAGCAAAGGTTGTCCAAACCTCCGCCAAGCTCTATATGCGACAACATAGTCTCACGGGAAGACAGCCGGTACGTTTGGAGTGGTGGATATCGCGGGATCTCGCTCGACAATGTCCTTGGGCACCGATATCACCTGGTCATCGTCCTCTGTGACATCACTCACTTCGTCTTCGAGTTGAGAAGTGTCATCGGCAATATTGCCTTGCAATTCAAGGACTGACTGTGTCTCTTTGATTTCCTCTTCAACACTCGCCGTAGGCGGGGCTTTTTCGGTGAGAAGCTTCGCTTTCTTCTTTTTCTTTCCCTTTCTTTTGATAGAGATATCGTCTTCCAACCCAAGCTCCTGTTCATCCTTTCTAAGCTCCGTCTCCCAAAACTCTGTTTCTGACAGTGATGCATCGGCAGCCTCCCGTCTCTCTGCCCATTGTCGGAGCTTTCTGCTTGCATCCTGCTGCCTAGAAAGCACTCGAAGCTGCCGGAGAACAATTGTCATATTCCTTTTCTCGTCGACAGATGCGTCATTGGTAAATTCGGGTATCTCAATGATATTATACGGCTGTCCTGCAGCCTTTATCTTGCTGTCATCGATCAGAATCGTATTGCTTTGATCCCACACACATCCTCCAGGGGAATTGCCGCCATCGTTAGACTCAGGATATCGCGATTGGATAAAGTCATCAGCCCAAATCTTATCCAATTTTTTATACACCTGCACTTTCTCGTTATACTGTTCCGGTGTGAGATCTAGTTTATCTCGTGCCCAAATGGTAACAAATTTAGACTGCATGGCCGAGGGAAACAGCCGTTTCATTACCTCCCGCACGGTACCAGGTTTGGAACTAGTCCAAATAATGACTTTGTGCTGATCGAGCACGTGCTTCATGAAATTATCGAGGCCAGGACGCTTGACGAAAACCGATGGCATCGAACGCCGATTGCGGTGGATCAAGGTTCCATTCATGTCGAGGATAATCAATAGGGGACGTGGAGAGGAGGTCGACGCTGGTTCCAAGGATGCATTCTTGAGGTATTCCTCCGTAGGAATCGGGGCAATGGGTGGTGCTATTTGGCGGGAAGTCGACATGTTATGGGACGGCGTATATGTTGGAGGTTGTATGGGGGGGAATGGAGTATTGACGTGACCTAAGGGAGCGAAATGTGGCATATTGGCGGAATTTGGCCAGGCAGTGGGTAACATAGGAGGTGGAAAAGAGTACTGGAACTGAAACTGAGGATATGGAATAGATGGGATGGCGGGAGGGTGCTGATTCCTGTCAGCCTCAAGTGTGTAAGCTGGGCACGGATGCGGAGGGGTTACCATCCAGGGCGTCGCGGGGAACGTGGACAAGTTCAGTAATGTCTGATTCATTTGCGCTGGGGGCGGCTGATACCGCGTCGGCGGCAGCATCTTGGGTTGCAGGTAAGGATCGGTCTGCGAGGACGAAGCGGATCTGTTTCCAGCTGTATTCCGATTACTTGGAGGGGTATATCGGGTCATTTCCGGTCGCCAACTATCACCATTCGTCCGCCTTTGTCTTTCTCCTGGCTGGTAGGAATCATAACGTCCAGAGTAGCTGTCGGCATTTTGGCGCCGGGAAGGACAGCCAATGCCCGGACGCCATCTACTCCCATCGGCTAGCAAGTGCGCATCGCCGTCATTTTGCTGCAGTGGCTGTGCCTTTCGTCCGTTCGATCGCCTAGGTTTTCGGGGTGGCATTATTCGCTGTGCCTTGAGATTGCCTTGACACACAACGGTCTGGCTTTTTGACGCACGCGATCCTGAACAACAAAACTAAGAGTACTCTATAATTAGTACAATCATTTCAGGGTAATATAGGGAGGTAAGTCGCACTCTAAGACCAAGTCCCCTCGGCAACGCCTTTGCCTGGCAAGGGAAACAAAGCAGAAGTGGTGGTATCGTAGTGGGAGAAGCGAATGCGCTGATTGCGTGGTGCGAGCGTGAAATGAATGGACACGCCCGGCGCGGGAGTAGCATCTCAATAGAAAAAAGAACGGAGCCCTCCTACCGTCACACCTTCGCTGTGCTGCGGCGGGGATGAGTGCTTTTGCTTGCTGCTTGATTGGAGCGAGTAGACCGGCCCACCGCCTTTTTGTGGCAATAATTCCTTTCTGCCACACCTGGCCGCCCTGAGTTTGTTTCTCCCGCAAAACATCGTCAGCTCATTGGAGCAATTATTATAATTAACTGTTGCATCGAGGCGGATAGACAGCCAGCGAGCCGGCTCCAAAACACGCACAATTGGAAGCTATGGCACTTTTGGACTCCCTCAACCGGCGCATAAAGGCCCGCGTGGACGACGATGACCCCGAAGAGTACTCAGATTTGTCCTCGTCAGAGCAAGATGGGTCAGATGCTGACTCCGACGAACTAGAGGGCTCTGAAGCCGCAAGCGATGGAGGATCGGACGATGAGGAGCTAGTAGGGCCCCAGTTCACTCTCTAACTAATATCATTTCATGGACATACGCCTAACCCAAATGCTTATTCCTCTAGTCCGACTCCTCCGCTCCCGAAGACACCGCCATCGACGCCTCGCTCAACCAAATCTCCTTCGGCGCCCTCGCCAAAGCTCAAGCCTCCCTGGGCCTAAGCAGCAGCAGCAGCAACAACAGGCGAAAACGTAAACTATCCACCGACAAAGAACAGGGCCCATCTCCCCTTGACGACATACGCGCCCGCATCCGTGCCACACGCGAAGAAAAATCCAAATCCACCGCCTCCACCACGACCAGCAAAGATAAAAAAGACCTTCCCCACCGCTCCTCCAAACACGCACCCACCGTTCAATCCTCCAAGCACGCCGTCTCCCGCAAGCGCACCGTCGTCGACGCAACCGCCATCTCGGGTCCGAAAGCCCGCGATCCGCGCTTCGACAGCGTCGTCCTCTCACACGGGACCTCCAATCCGCAAGCTCTCGGCAACGCCCAGGCCGCCGCGGCCAAGAATTACTCCTTCCTCAACGACTATCGTGATGCGGAACTCTCCTCGCTCAAGCAACAACTCGCCAAGGCCAAAAATCCGGCCGAAAAGGAGCAGCTCAAGCGCACTATCCGATCCATGACGGATAAGATTCGAACATTCGAGCGGAAGCAGAGAGAGAAGGAGGTGGTGGCGCGGCATCGGCGGAGGGAGAGAGATTTGATTCGCGAGGGGAAGAAGAGCACGCCGTATTTCTTAAAGAAGGGGGATGTGAAGAAGGAAGTGCTGAAGCAGAGATATGAAGAGATGGGGGCGAAGGACCGGCAGAAGAGCATTGTGAGGAGGAGGAAGAAGGTTGCGGCCCGGGAGAGGAGGGAGATGCCTGATATGAGGAGGACGGGGTGAGACTTAATACACCGGGGAAAAAGGAAAAAATCTATGACTCGGATAAATATGAATGCCATCGCAAGGCGTATAAAAATTACCTTCGGTGAAATGGCTTTTTTGAATAACAAAAAGCCAAATAGCGGAGGGGAATAGAATGCCCCCAATCTACCCCAGGTTTGTCCGTTGGAAGACACCATATCTTGCAGCCCTCTAGGAGAGTATAGAGCATATATTCGATATCTCACGCAGGTACGGAATTCCGTACCAGGATCCCTACTCTGGACCTCGGCCAGATAAATACCGCCCTAATCTAACGAACATTCTCAATTATCCAATTTCCAAATCCTCCAATTTCATTTCACGTATATCAAATGAATATCTAGTCTGCTATAACAGAGATTTGAATATATAGCTAGACAGCCAAAAGGAAACAAACTCCAAGCCAGCGCAGCATATCAGGAAGGAAAATCAAGAACTAGGAAAAGGCGGGTAAGGGTGGAAATTTAACGAGAGGAAGAAGACCAAAGAAAGAAAGAAAGGGAAAAAAAAAGGAACAATTATGAGTGTTTTTTTTTTTTATTTTTATTTTTTTCTTTATTTGTTTTTCTCTTTTCCATGTCAGTCCAGCTTTCGTTCCGCATGAGATGAGTTACTTCAGCCCCAAAAAAAAAAAAAAAAAAAAAGGAAAAAGAAAATTGATTCCTTCGTCGTAGCAGGCAGGAAAATACTCCTGTTGTCCCCCTTTCCACTTCATCACAGCGTAACTTGAGGACACATAGAAAAATACGTCGAAAAACAAAGGGGGGAGGATACAGGAAATAGTGCAGAATGAAGAATAGAAGTTAATATAAAAAGGCCCTAAAAGACAGAGCCAAAAAAATAAAAATAAAAAATAATTCGAGCAGATTAACTCGACCCAAACCCGCCATGAGGAAAAAAAGCGTGCAAAGGTATCCAGCAAGAGCGCAAAAAAGAGGGAAAAAAAAAAAGGGCAATCAAAAGAAAAAAGAGAGACAAAGGATAAATGAAGCAATCGAAGAGGGACACTGTCAAAATGCACATTAACTCCTTCATCCTATTCACAGTGTCCAGACCGTGCGGGTAATGAACTGCAAACAATACCCAGGAGTAATCCAGATCTCTGAAACGCGGAAAAAGAAAAGGAAAAAAACAGCATAGAGAAAAATAAAAGGCGACAAAGGAGAGGGGAGGTTCCCCAGTAATCCAGACATATCGGAATATAGAGGGAGCAAGGAGGGAGCGATATATATAATAATAAAATTAAAAAAAAAAAAAAGGAAATCGGCGGCTTTTTTGGATTTATGCGGCAAGATCATCATCGACAATCCCGACTTGCCAAAAAACGTCGAGACAAAAAATAATTCCCTCCCAACCAAACCATGATCGCATCGCACATAATTCAGTTCTTCCGAAGAAAAAAAAAAAAAGACAACAAAGGGTGGCCCAAGATAACCGCTCGTATATGTGTATATATAATTCGCGCTTGTTGCTCAAATAAATATCCTTTCCTTTTCTTTTTTTCGGCTCTCATGAGTGGAACAAGTCCCAAGCTCGCGCGCACAGGCTCAAAAACTCTTCTTTTTTCCTCCGTTGCGTTTCCGGAGAATCTCTGCCTGCGCCGAACGGTCCGTAGGCGCTGGGCCCGGGACCCGTGCGGAATCGCATGTCTGGGCCGGTCCCGAGGGGCGGACTGCCGTTATCCTGCTCGTATTCGTGCCTGGTGCGGCGACGCCCGGCCCCGGTGGGGTTGGACATGGAGTGTGGCTGGGACGGGATGCTGTTCGGATGCTGGACGCCGTTGGGGGGACCGCCAGTGCTGTTCCCGCTATTGCTGCTGTGGAGGTTTGGTGGGGAGCGCGGGCTGGTGGCTTTGTTGCCGTTGTAGTGAACGATGCGGGGGAGTAGCTCCTCTCGGCCACCGGCAAGTTCGTGAACCGCTTCTTCTGCGGAACGGTACTCTCTTGGCCGTCCTGAGGGTTGGCCGCCGCCAGGGAGACCGGGCGATGGCAGAGGGCCAAGTGCCAATTGCGAAGGTGTCGGCTGGCCGAAGGCACCTCGACCGTTGCTATCTCGGTCCCGTAATGGTAGCGTGTCCGCGCCGAAAACATCGGCAATCGGAGGGAGGCGGTTACTAGTTTGATTTGCTGGGGTATGGTGAATCTGAGGCGACCCGGAGAAGTCCTGATTCGTAAAATGGCGAGTCAATGGCTGGGGTTGACGGCGGCCGGTAAACGTCTGGTTCAGAGGTGCAGACTGTATCACTCGTTCGTTGGCGAACTGGGAGGCGGAAGGGGGTACGATCGAGAGTCCCGGTGGAGGCCGTTTCTTCGAGGATCTTTGCGACCCGAACGGGGATGGCTCAGGTTGCTTCGCGCTCTCTTGTCCATCTCCTTTGGCCGATTGTTGCAGTCGGGCCTCGATTATAGATCTCTGTTGATCTCTCACGTTCATACTTCGCTGCAGCTGTTCTCTCATAGCAGGATCCTGGGTCTGAAAGCCCGGAGATAAACAGGCCAATCCCACATCCTGCATGGCCCTTCCATCTCTAGCGGTCAGCGGTCCTCGGGTGGAGAGGTTGTTCCCTGGTGTAGATGTAGACAGATCTAGTTTGCGAGGGCGATGTCGTGTACCTGGTTGTAGACTTGGAGACGTCGGGGGTTCCTTTTTTATTGCGATCTTGGGCGCTGGTCCTCCACTCCGCGATCTAAAAAGAGTGAAAGAAAGAATGCGTTAGCAGGATATCTATGTTTTGGAAATAATTTTTTTTTTCCTTTTAATGTTTTCTTTTTGCTTATCGATTGGCATGCGAGAACAACTCACGTATTCGGCGACCGTTTCCCCTCGGGGGTGTTCTTTTCGGTGGGTACCTCATTTGAGCCGGACGGTACCCGAGTTGGGGTTGGCGTGGATGAAGGGGCGGCCGACAACGGCGCAAGGGAGGGATAGGACTTGGGACTCGAGTCGCGGTCGACCATTGGGCCTAGCAGTGCAGCAGTAGGAGGGACAACCGCAGTGGACATTGTATCAAAGCGGAGGAGAGTAAAAGTATCGAGGGGTCGAGGGGGTCGAAGTAAGGTTCGAGGGGGTAGATCTACGGTAGAACCGGAAACCGGTAGCCAAAAGGTATCGGGTATAGATCCAGTGTTATTATAATTCCCCTTTAATCGTTTTAGAAAACGGGAAAAAAAAAAAAAGGAATCCTTTTTTTTCCGGCTTCTGTGTTTCTGTTTCCAATCACAGCTAAGACTTGGTGTATTTCGAACCTGATTCCACCGAAACAATCTCGAACAGGGAATGGTAAGTGGGCGAGGGGTTTCGTCGAGGGTTTTTCGACTTGATCCGAGAAGGACAGGAGGAATTGCCAGCAGCGAGAGAAGCGAGCGACGAGAGGAAAGTCCCGGACGGAATTCCAAAAAAAAAAAAAAGGAGCGGCCTCGACACCAACAGCCCAATCGAAGGAGGGTGGGGTGGGAGACGGATGGGGATAGAGGGGAGATAGAGACAGGGAGAGCGAGTGAGCGTCTATTATCTCCTGAGAAGCGCAGCGAGGTTGCCAGACCCTTCACTGAGCGATGATGATAGCCGCCAGGCCGACATGCATGGGGGCCAATACTCGTGGAGGGTTGGCGGCGAGCTGACTCTTGGGACGAAACGGTTCGAATCAAGAGACAGCTGAATGGATGTATATGTGGGATGTACTATGTTATTCTCCTAGCCAAGCTCTCAGAGACATGCAGGTGTGCGTCCTGGGTGTCGACAAAGAACGTGCTGGGTTTATCCCTCTAGCAGTGAAAGAAACACGGGGGTCAACTCCAGTCAAGAAGTTGTCCGTGGACTCGTTCTTGTTGTCCGTGACGATCCCCCCTTGCAGCAGTAGCGAGACAAGAGAGGGAGAGGGAGGGGAGGGAGAGAAGGGAGAGAATCAGGGGGTTAACGAGAGAGAGAGAGGCAGAGAGGAGAAGAAGCAAGCGGGAGAAGAGGAGTCCAAAAAGAAAGGAAAAGAAAAGAAAAGCAAAGAAATCAAGAAAGAAACGAAGAAGCGAGACCGAGAGGTACAGGGCGGCGTATGTGTGTGGAACGAGAGAGAGGATGCGTGTGGGAAACGGGGAGAAGCTCGAGTCTCAGGCGCCGGCGGCGGGCGAGTCGGACATGTCTGGGGCGGCTGCGGCTAGTCAGGAAAAAAAAAAAAAAAAAAGGATTTCCAGGCGAGCAAGCAAGGGGGCCTGTGAGGGCGGTGGATCTCCACGCCCGCGAGCCCGCCGAGACGAGCGAAACTGGACGTGAGTTTTGTGGACACCGTGCTTCGGGCGGAGAGGGGTAGGGTTCGTGGGTAGCGGCGTTCGGAGGGAGTTAAATATCAGAAACCCACCAATATCACGAAGAGGACGTGGGAAGACGGCGGCGGCGCGATGGGGATCAGCCTTTTCCGCCTCGATCCCTCTTCGACGGTGACAATCGTCCAGATGGCTGGCAACAACACCAACACAACCGACGATGTACAGCCGTCCAATGGAGCTAGCACAGCGTGCAGTACATGCGTGGATGCATATGTACAGTACACACATACATAATCTAAACTACCTTCTGCTCACTAACTAAGATTTACTCCGTCCAGCACAGCAAAGCAAGAGACCCAGAAGAGAAAAAAAAAAAAAAAAAGAAAAGGGAGAGGAAACTGGATCGCCTGGTGCTGGGTCTTCGTTTGTTTCGGCTGATGGACGATGACAGCCATGACTCGCAACAATAGGCTGGTTGGAAGGGCGAGCTAATATGATTCCAAGGGGGGCTTGACCCGTCAGAGCTAAACGGGTTCGACAGACTGGTGAAACATCCCGCAGCTGGGAGAGCAGCCTTGTCTCGGATCCGCCAAATCATCTGGACATGTGTTGAATCCTGTGACGAAATTCGAGGGAGATTTGTCTGACGGTTACGAGAGGGCAACAAAAATCCCCACGCTGTACCAAATCCGATGTTGGCCAAATTGCATGATACCGGACAAGTCGACGTCCTCGCTTGATTTTATTGTTATTTATTTATCTATTTTTTTATTTATTTTTGTTTTTCTTCTTCCTCTGATTCGGCGAGAGACACGGACTCGAAAGAAGAGAGACTATCGACTGTGCCATGGGCCCCATCACAGCAGCAGCCCAGCGACGGGTCCAGGGCATCGCCTAAACTAGACTGCGACCTGAGGACAGGCCTCGCAGCAGGGAACCGCCGTCTAAGGGGGTCTAGAAGCGACCGCTTTGTTTCACTGAGGCGCCGGCCCACTGCCAATGGGAGTGCAGAGAAGATGGGTTTTATGTCACTCTATTCTACGGAGTACTCTTTTTGATTTTTATTATATATTTCATATTCATATTTTTTTCCTCTTCATGTTATTTCATATTCATATTTTTCCTCTTCATGTTATTTCATTCTTCGCTGTAGCTCACCAAGTCACTGCACACTCGTTGGACAGGAAAACGGGACAGCTGGCCTTGTTCGTTGAGCTGTTCTCTTCCTCTTGCAGCCCGGGCCCTTCACTGTCGTCCTCCCAGACACGGGTGGATACATGCGTGTTTCATCTCCCAATCCATCATCATTTCGACTCTCAACAACCCGGAACCCGGACAGTCTGGGGACAGAAATTTTCCGACCGAAAACAAAAAAAGTAATAAATAAAAAAATAATCAGTCAATCATGGGCGACTCACTCACTAAATCATTAGTCAATGACCAAGTACTCACCCACTAACACACTCTCTCTTCTCACTCTCTTGTCTGATCAGTGTCTCAGAACCGCCCCACCCGGCACTGTGGCTGGAGTTCTCATGGTGCGATCGTCTCTCTGCCAAAAAAAAAAAAAAAAAGAAAAAGAAAAAAAAAGTCTGCGCTTGCTCGACTCTTCCTCTTCCATCAGTTGTAAGTTTTGTATGCATGTGTGTACGTACATCCATCCATTGGTAGCAAGTACTCTGTACGGAGTAGATACGGAGAACCAAACAACGGCACGCCATCACGAACTCTGGAATGGCCAAGCTCACGGGATGTCGACGCCATCCCCAGCCCCGGGATGCAACTGGTCCAATAGTGTCGCCAGGATATGCCCCTTGGAGGCTTAACAGACCAAGCGAAGGAAAAAGAAAGAAAGAAAGAAAAGAAAGAAAAGAAAAGAAAGAAAGAAAGACAAGCGAACAGCAATACGGTGCAATAGCAATATGAACAAGGATGAAACCGAGACTATCGAAATTCTGCTGCCCAGACCCTTGATCGGCCGGTTGCTAAATATTACTCTCTCCAAAACCGACTACGGGGAACGATATCTGGGGCTCGTGTCGTTCGTTGGCCTGTGGGCGAAGATGATCTACGGCGCATTCCGTCGTTGGTTAGTTCAAGCAAAGCCTTTTCTCCCCTTACGCAGCTCACGTAGGAATCGCCGTCTTTAAATGAAGCTGCATCTCTAACCACATACTTACGAGCTGAACCAAAAAGGAAACACATTCCTCCGATCCAACTTACTCCTCCCTCCCTAACTTTAACCAAGGTACTCCGGTACAGTGATGCGTACTCCCCTTCTCTGGCTCTCTTCGGCCTTGGATGACCAGCTCAAACGCCCCATGGCAATGGCGTTACATGCCAAACCAGAAAACACAGAGAGCACTCACCATACAGGTGGGGGAGGGGACATGTACCAAACTTGTGCCCTGTCACGATGGCGTGATCTAAGAGTAAGTAGGGCCGTCCCTGCAAGATCTTACATCCATACGGTACATGGTCCTTTTTTTTTTTTCCTTTTCCCTTTCCCTCTGCAAAACCCCCGAAGCTGGCCGTGAACGTGGCATCTGCCTGCCTGTCCATGGTATCTGCAACACGGCAACATTTTAGTTCCCGTTTCTCAGCCACGAGAGGCCGACGTTCATTTCTTCGGCGATTCGAGCCCGGTGTGGCCCAAAAGCTTGGTTTGATTCTCGGTTTATTTTTTTTTATTTTTTTTATTTTATTCTTGCCTCACTTTCTCGTTTCTCTTCCCGTTTCACCCAGCAATATCCTCTTTCGTCCATAGAGCGCATTCTTGTCTCTGGAATCCGAAAATCCTCGTGTGCCGGGCACTCGCCAATTCTTTGGAATAGTTAACCTTCAGTATCCTGGAAGGCAAAAAAAGGTCGTACCGTGGCATCTCACAAATTGGCTTCCACCCCGTCGCATGGAATCATAGAATCTAAACAAGCTTCTGCCATGTTCACCTGACAGATCTTTCAACTGTTTTCGTTTCATTGGTTGGAAGCAAAGGGGGGCGGCGTCTAGTGGAGTTGTATCCGAAAGTCTTGGTTCATTGAAGGGATCTGATTCCTGGGGAAGATAATAAAGAAGGGGACATATATGCTTTTGATTTCTCCTGCCAAATTGTTCGTGGCCTTCCTTTCCTTTGTTCCTTTTTCTTTTCCTTTTTTTTTTTTTTTTTTTTTTTTTTAATTACGTCGGTTGACCATCCCAACACCCATCGGCCGTTCTCGGCGGGAGGGATCCGGGATGCTCGGGAACCCATTCCGGAGAGCTGAACAATGTGTCCACGTGGGTCTTGATGGGATGGATGCGCTCCGTAACTGCAGAATACATACAGTATCCCCACGGGCTCTGGTATATGTATCCAATTGATGGTAAAAGAGTGCCGTCTCCGTAGTATCTCGGGCCTCGAAGACGAGAATTCAGCCTTTCTTGAAATGCTCGACTGCTGCTTTCAGCTGGCTGTGGGGGGTGTCAGGGGCAGTGATGACTAAGCAGTGGCAGCGGAGCTTTTCCCCCACACGGCGGGGAGGGAGGGGAAAGAGCTCGGGGAAAGTTGGAGAACGGCGTTGCGCGTGTTATTTCTTTTGCCTGCGGAATCGCGAGCCGGGAAGCGAGCCCGCTACGAAATAATACGTCCTGCACCACCATCGTTTTGGCATTCAAGCGGTTATCGAAACAAGAAACACAGCGCTGATACCCCCGATAGTACATACATATACATAGATCTGTGTGGACATCTCAAAAGAGATAATGGCGGACCAACTAGCATGGATAGGGTTGGGAAACATGGGCCGGGTAAGCCAGCAAGCCCTCCATTCACGCAAGGGTTGAACCGATTATGTTAACAGTTCCGCTGCTCCAGGGCATGGTCCGCAACCTCATCGCCAAAGGCTCGCTCTCCCAGCCCCTAATCCTCTACAACCGCACTCAGTCCCGAGCCACTTCCTTCTCCGAGACGCTCACCGCCGGCAGCACCACCGTCGCCTCGTCGGTCGCAGAAGCGGTCCTGCCCGCCTCCATAATCTTCACATGTCTGGGCGACGACAAGGCCGTCGAGGCCACGATCGATGCAGCCCTCCAATCAACAGACGTCAAGGGTAAACTCTTCGTCGACTGCTCCACCGTTCACCCGGACACATCTCGCAAGCTGGAGAAGCTCCTCGAGTCCCGGGGCGCCAGCTTCATCGCATGTCCGGTCTTTGGCGCCCCGCCCGCCGCGGACGCCGGCCAGCTGGTCTGCGTGATGGCCGGGAAGAGACATCTGATCGAGCGGGTCAAGCCGTACTTCGCCGGCGTGGTGGGACGGGCCAACATCGATCTCAGCGAGACCTCCGAAGATCCCGGCAGGGCTGCGATGCTCAAGGTTCTCGGCAACTCGATGATCTTCCAGATGGTGTCTGCGGTGTCGGAAGGTATGGTCGTGGCGGAGAAGTCCGGGTTGGGTGTCGGCGAGGTGCACAAGTTTCTGGAGGCCGTCTTTCCCGGTCCGTACGTCGGGTATTCGAAGAGGATGATTTCAGGGGATTATTTTACGCGCGAGGAGCCGCTGTTTGCGGTTGATTGGGCGCGGAAGGATGTTGCCCATGTTCTTGATCTGGCGAAGAGTGTGGGGGCCGAGATGAAGGGAACAGAGAGGGTTGATGAGTATCTGAAAGAGGTCAAGGCGCATTCGGGAGAGAAAGGAGATATTGCCGCCATTTACGGCGTTGCCAGGGAACATGCGGGCTTGAAGTTCGAGAATAAATGACTATCCGGCTTGAACAGGACGAAGCTATGATCTAGTTTCTTTGGTGTGAGTAACTAGCTCCTTCTACGCATTCAGTCGTTATTGACAATTGAACACGCTCATGGTACATTTGTGGATGGTAATCGGGCCACCGAACCCTGAAGAGCTCTACTTGCAATGTTGTAACTTGTCTCGCAACTTCTCCAGGCACTCAGCGCGGAAACATGGAGACAAGCATGAAAAACGCTTAATTAGACCCAGTTGTTCTCGATTGCTCCTTAACCAGGGCCTCGTCCTTCCTGAACCGATGGAAAGGTCTACTGGTATGCCCCCAAAAATTGGTTTATAAGGCCATTTGGTGCTGGCTCCGGCTACCACGCAACCGAACCAGGTGATGGCTGGCTTCTATATCATCCGTTGACACCTCTACCGCCTGGGTCTCGCCATTTCTTTGATTTTCTTGATGATGTGCCGCTGCGTGGTCTAACTACAAGGTTATTGGGGTTGCTTTTGACCGGCACAAAATTCCATTGTTGAATGGAAGAGGGCTGTGCCTTAAAGCAACCTCCTGGCGCTGAGGTTCCAGAGGAGTCGGTGGCCAGGTGGGTTCGGAGTGCATCTATATGTATGACACCAACCGATACTTAACCCGTTCCTTCACGTTCCCGTTCCAATTCCAGCGAAAGGCACAGTTACAGCCCTGTGCGTCTCTCGCACGATGATTATCAGGAGTTTCGACTGAAATTTCAATATAGAATGCTCCTAGATGTAACTATGATATATCCTGAAACGCCACTGTGGCTGCTCTTCTCCTGTCCGTGGCACAGCTGACTTCTGCAGCTAACGTACATCACAGAATCGCATTACTTGGGGTTGCTACCGAAAAAGTGAAATAAGAGAGAGGGGAAAAAAAACAAAAAAAAAAAAAAAAAAAAGAAAAAAGAGGTAAGCTATGAGGTTCATTCTGATTTCCAAGTCTAGCGAGCGATCTATTGGCGCTGGAGGCGAACTCAGTATTTATTTACGGAGTAACCAGTGTAACCAATTTACATATAGGATCGAGGAAGCTGGCCAGGGTTTTCAACTCAAAGCTTCACTTTTCCTGGAACATTCCATTTTGCCCGAAGCTCTACTTGATGAGTAGCGAAATTTCGCTTGAAACGCCGACCTTCAACCTATGTTGTACTACTTTTGAAGTGAAGTTTTTGATCCGCCTCGCTCTCTGTGCGTCTCGACCTCGCTCTCAAGGGGCAGAAGGCCGCCATTGTTTATGAGAGACTGTGCTACCACCAGATTTCCCCCATTGACAAACTTGGTTTTGAATTCGAAATACTTGGCTACATACTCGGGAAAGTCTGTGACTCAGTGTGTCTATTTTGTTTCCTCGCACAGCAGTTCCTGTACCTTGGCACTGGCACCTGGCATGGATGCAACTCCGTACTCTGTTACAGTGCCAACAAATGAGATTGAAACCCGCCTGGTCTCGTCTACTACCAATACCAACCAATAAATCCGCTTTGTTGGTCACGCAAAGCCAACCTTTATCATCGCCATTTGGGGATACATTTCATTTGACAAATCCAATCCGGCACGGAACTGTGATTTCAGCTCTCACAGCTGGCGCTTGAATTTGTCGCTCGACGACTATGTTTCTCAAACCGCGACCGACCACGGTGCGTGCATTATTACGGCAATAATAGGGTTCAATGAATGTTAGTTACCGTGTGCGAAGGAATGCGGGGTCTTGTTCTTCTGTTTACAAACAGCCTTGAATGGTCCCAGGCTCCCTTCTCAACGCGGGGCTCCTCCCAATGATCGAGACAATGACGCATGATACAGGGAAAATCATCATCATGAGCTTAAGGGGAATTATACTTAACAATCCAGGTCCCGCATATCTGTTTATCCAGCGATGAAGCGACAAAGAAGTGCGGAAACAAAACTTAGATCCCGAGCCCCTAGTTACATGCGAAATCCCGGGGGTAGAAGCAGAGAACTGAGGATAAAGAAGGTTATGTCGATACCCTTGGCACACCAAAGCCCTTCAACGCAGAGAAACATATAAAGAAGACGTGCGTAGCGGCCTGTCCATCAAGTCCCTCGGAAATCGCTACCCCTTCCACTTCAGCCAGCAAGCATCGAACCGTCCCGACGCGCAGCGCTATATCCAATTACTTTCAAACGCGAGAAAACACCCGATTCTCCTTCTAAATATGTTCTGGCTGGAAGCCATTGCGTTCGCCACTGCGGCTCTCCTGGCAAGTGTCTCCGCCGCCCCAGCGCCGGATATCGCTGAGAGGGCTGACCGATGCGAGTCTGGAGTATGTTATGTCGATAAGCCCACATGGTGTCAGGAAGGATGGGTGAGTACTTTCTTGAGGTGTTTCGTCTTATTTTTCCCCCGTCACTTGAGCCCAAGGACCCTTGGGACGATATCCGCATTCTTTTAAACCATCCCGAAGCTAATTCAATGGAATAGGAACCAGTGCACTTCCGGGTGGTAAGTTCTTTGCTGCAGCGATTGAGATGTTCCGAATGATTTGCACTTGTTTTCTGCTCCTGGTGCTGATGCCTATTGATCTATGAAATTTAGACCGGCTGCTGGGTTTGCTGCACAAAGAGATGAGGTGGACAACGATCTGGATGTCTCTCAGTTTAGATATGTTGACAAAGGGATTTTTGGGAACTTCCTGTGATCAGGGATATGGGTACCCCGTCCTCTATGCACAGTACACATAAGGCATTGGGACAATGTCATATATGATGGGCATGTTCACAAGTCAAGATAATAAGCAAGAACTATGGTCAACAGAATCTTCATTGGAGTACGTAAATAAGGGCTAGAGTATCCACGCGACAAGAAGAGACCTCGCTACAAATTTCACCCTCCTAAGGCGAGCCACCATTGCGCGCTTCTCTGTCAACACTTTTGTGTTTCACTGCTGGTGCCCATAAACAAGAAGTCATTCCCCGGCAAAGAGAAATTCCGATCACCGTCAAACCACCTGACCTTAAATTCCCCCCCAGGAGGTTGCTTTTTCATAGCCTGTTCTGAGGTTGGGGGGGCTCCAACTGTAATGCGGCCGCAGGTGACATCACAAATGATTCGGAAACTCGGTCATGCAATTAATTACAGGCAGAATATGAATCTGGCGGAGTATGGACTAGGCGCAGAAGCTGTGTAACTATTCATCTATGTAAACTAATTAGCTAGGCGATCGCCGGTGTCCAGCATGCTAGTCCCCGACCACTTATTTCTGCCTCGTTCTTCTCTCTTCCATTAACCGCACATTAACCTTTGAGTGCAGAGTACAGATTACCCAACAATCATCACTAGCAGCAAGTGCATTACTTCTCTTCTCTCTTCACCCCCACAGACACCTTTCTTCCGCGCACAATGGACAAAATCTTCCCTCACCCCCCTTACGCCGAAGACCAACCACATTCCCATATCATCCTCCCCCTACACGTCATTCGCGCCGGCCTAACCGTTGGTTCAATCCTATCCGTCGTCTCCGCCACCATCTTCACCGCAGCAAAACAACCCCGAACCGTCTCCGTCTACACCACCCGACTCATCACATATGCCAGCCGGGGCTCCGTTGCCGGCATGCTGGCCGGCGCAGGAATGGTGACTTTCAAGATGCGCGGACGGGAAGAGATCGAGTGGCAGGATCGAGCGTGGAGGTTGCTGGAAAACAAGGGACAGATGGAGATGGATCGATGGGTCCCCGCTGGCGGAGTACTTGGCGCGGTGGCGTGTGTGGTTGCCGCGCGGAGAGGAAAAGTGCCAAGCCTCGGGACAGGGACTGCGGCGCTCGGGGGACTGGGTTTAGGGGTGGCGGGTGGGGCGGCGGGATATGCGGGATGGAGATATGGGGTCCATGGGGGCAGGTTTGATTGAAATGGATAGCAGATATACGGGCGGAGATACTAGCGTCTGCTCTTCAACAAAAAAGAAAAAGAAAAAAAGAGAGAGGATTTGCATATTGTTGTGTGCATGACGAATTATTGTTCTATCTATTTCCATTGATGGATATTGCTCTACTCTTTACGGAGTCCTTTTTACGGAGGATGTTGACATTCCCGCTTCCCTCGCCTTGGCCCTCTCAAGCCCCTCACTTCACGAGACATTTTGACCCTCGGCTATTCTACAAGAAACGTCTATCATGACATCAGGCCGGGTCACAATCTCTAAAAAAATGGAGCTCTCTTCTCATCTGCTCGTTTCATACTCCCAGCTCTCCCAGTTCTCCAACTATCTTGCCAGCGCCCAAAACCAACAGCCATGTCGAACACCAAAACGATTCACGTCCCGCACCTTGGCGGCATTGACGCTGCATACCGTATATCCGATCCCTACGACGCCTCTAAACCTACCCTCATCTTGATAAACAGCTTCACAACATCTTCTGAACTCTATGATGCACAATTCTCTAGCCCCGCGTTGTTATCCAAGCTCAACCTCCTCGCCATCGAGCTCCTAGGGCATGGGCAAACCCGGACAGATTGCGAGCACTGGACGTATTGGGACACTGCGATCATGAATCTGCAGGTCATGGATGCATTAGGTATTAAAAGAGCGTTCATTCTTGGTACCAGCCAAGGTGGCTGGGTAACCGTAAGAATGGCATTGCTTGCCCCAGAGAAGGTGGGGAATCCAATAGACATTAACTTGAGACATATCATATTGCCCTCACTAACAAACCATACAACCTGGATAGATCCAAGGAATCATCCCTTTGGGCACTTCTATGGACTCAGAGTCCCCCCGCAGCCGTGCTCTCGGGTGCTGGGATCCCATCCAACCCTGTGCCGACCTTATCAATTCTTGGACCAGCGACACTCCTACGCCTGATTTCTCCCTCACGCAGTCATACTGCGACTTTCTCATCGATGCGGGTTTCGGCGCCAACTGTCCCTCCGAGGTCCGAGCCTTCTGGAGCCAAACCCTTCAGTCTAAATACCGGGGGAACGATGGTCGAAAACGGATCAGGATGGCGGCGGTCAATCTCCGCGATAGAGATACTTTACACAGCCGGCTATGGGATATCCGGTGCCCTGTCCTCTGGATGCATGGGACGAGCGATGTTGTGTACTCGGTTGCTAATGCGGAAGAGGAGATCAAAATGTTTGTAAATTCGCCAGATGCAAGGTTGATTGTTGTCGAGGGTGGCCAGCACTTTTTGAGCTTTTCAAATCCCGAGGAAGTGGAGCGGAATGTGTTAGAGTTTGTGGAGAAGTATTAGCCTCATTTTCGACCTCTCCCATCATCAAAATAGCACAAAAGGAGTAATTTTGACTGTACGGTTGATCGTCCGGTCCTTAGTTGGGCGCTTTTCACTTTGTGAACCGAGCGTGGAGTGATTGCTTTGCCGCCTAATGTGCGAGTTGACTCCGACATTTATCTTTCCAAGTAGTTATCGCTTTCGTTACTTTGTTCCAGTCCCATAACGTACATCATCTAGCCGTGTTTTTCCGAAGGATAGGGGAAGATTGAAAATTCGGAACTGCCTCCTAAAATCCGAACTCATATAGAAGGGGACTCTTCGACCCTTCTTCTAAATGCATCATAAAACTTTTAACACCTTGGATTGCCTGTAACCTCCACCAGAGGACATGCTTAAGACATGTGAATGTCCCGCCAAGAACGCAAAGAACCGAAAAAATTCGCTTCGATGAAATAAAGGTGTCGCTCAATAGATCAAGGCAGTCTCATCAAACCGCTAGTGGGGAAAAATATTGAAAAGGAATTTTTGGACGTGAGAGAGGGCAGCTTGCCTGGCAAGCGGGTGAGCCCAATACTCTCAGGCATCGATTGGGGAATGAATACCTCCGCTGTATTTAACTTGGCCACCATAGCTAATAAACCAAAGCGGGAAAATGAACCCAATTCAATTTGGCCCTTCACATGTTGGCTTGGCGAGGGACATGGCACCCTCGATGGAACCAAGGATATGCCATGGTACCACGACAGCTTGTGTAAGGTGTGTGTATGTGTACAGGCCCGCAATGCAGAACCAGCCTTCCCAAGCAAGTGGGAAGGTTTATTCATGGCCGGTGGGTTTGTACAAAATGGTTGTCACATACTGTTCGTCGAGATCAATCAGCAAGGCTGGTTACGGCATAAACGGATTCAGGTTGGGAAGTACACAGACCTTTCTTTTGTATCTTGTCGTCACGCTCGTGGCTAGGACACCATTTTTTATACTACTAGTCGCAAGATGGTTCAAGACAGTGTGATTCGGGTAATTCAGAACGCTGTTATCGTCTTTCATGGGCGTGGAGCTGTTCAATATCGATCGGCCGAGGAACATTGGCAGCATCGGTGGGGCAGGAAAATCATTTATGATGTTCGCGGCTTGTGTATAGCCCGGTGTGCTTTCTTCCGTATCTATATCGATGAGGACCGGTGGAATAATTGTACGGAAATCACCGAGGGGTATCTCTTCTTCAGGTTCCTTTTCGGGTTCTTCTACGGGTAAAGAGTCGGGAAGCACCTGCGGGGGATAAAGCCCCGGTGGAATCACAACTTTAGGAGGCTTATCACTTCCCCGGGAAGCTAGCATTTCATCAGGGCTTATCTCAATGTAGTTGACCAGGTGGTTAGTAAAATCAACGGCAGTAGGAAGGCTGTCGGAAGTTCTCATAACACCATCTACAATGAATTTAAGATGGTGTGTCCCTGGACGAAGTTTGAGGGTAGTCGAAAACAAGCGGTTTTCAACCTCGCTAGAGGAGACAACGGTCAGGTCCATATGGTCCGAAATGTGGCCTGCCATGGACCAAAGGGGTGGGGTTACCTCTTGTATAGTTTAAATTTCCTTGCCCAATTTACGAAGGTTCCTGTCACATATACCTTCTCCCCACCACCTCTCCACTCGATAGTCGTCGATACGGCCTTGTTTAGGCCGGTGGTAACAAATGGTTCCAGCTCATCCACAACTTCATCGTCATCATCAGCAGTATCACTCAAACCTGATTTGTCAGGGTAGATTCCGGCCCTATCAAAAGCGGCCGTTGCACCCAACGAGCCACTGGCTGTGATTGGTGATCCAGGGACCGACATCGCATCGCCAATCGGCAGAGGAAGCCGTGGGGGCCGTGAGAGGTGTGAAGGGGTAGCATAGTAGGTGTTTACAGACGGTCCATATCCACCTACATATGGATACTGCTGTGATGACGCTGGAGTCGGGACTTGAACGGCTCTTGCTGGTTCAGGAGTGTCGGACGGCTTTGGGTGGATAGGAAAATCTCGAGTATCATCTTCACGTTCCTTCCGGGAGATGCGTCGTTCCAGCCTATCGTAACCTCGACCTGCCGACTCGGCGATGTTGCGTGACTGTAGCCTCTGATGAACCGGCGTTTGCTGCCGTTGAGAATATTGACCGGTTGCGCTCTCTTTTGAAGCCGATGGATCGACGGCTGCTGATTTGCTCCCCGACAATGCCTGGATGGACGTTCTTCTGTTCACTTTCCTGTCGTTCCATTGCGCCGAGGGGCCTTGCGCTGGTTGACCAGGGGGTTTCGACGGGGTGTTTCCCATCTTCACATCGCCCAACCAAGAGGATGAAGCCGACGGATTGCGCGCGAGAGAGAGAGAGAGAGCGAGAGAGAGAGAGAGAGAGAGATAGAGAGAGAAAGAGAGACTAAATTTCTTAGCACAACGGCCTAAGGAAGTTTCTCTCCGTCTTTCTCCTGTGCTTCGACGACGTTGCTACACGGATGGCATGCAGCTCGATAGAGAGCGGTTCCTGGCATGATGTCGTATGGTTCCTCTCGCAAGCAGCAACTACCTGTCCAAAGCGGGGCAGTTAGGGTTTAGGGTTTGACGTCAGTGCCCGTGAGGCTTGGCAGCGGGGCGACAGGGCTTGGCGGGATCACGTGGATCCGAGGCCCAAAAACGCCAACCGGCAACGATCGCCCATCATCGACGGCTGGACCTTGGCGGTGCCAGCCGCCCCCAGGGGAGACTCATGAGAGTGCGAGGGACCGGAGTCGTGTTGGCAGAACGCGGTTCGTCAGCGCTAGCGAAAGGACGCACCTGACAGTTGGCCGATTGTGGGGCGTTTTGCAGGAGATGGTGTTTGCGGTGGCCGAACGTTGAATCGGCCCTGAGCGTCGGGCCTCCGTTTCAGCGTCGAGACCTCTTTTCTCAGGGGTTGCGCTTCCGGGGTTATATTCCTTTTTTTGGAGCGCCGCAGGAGGAGCGAGTCACCTTTCAGTCTGTGGCCTGCATGTCTAGGCAATTTCCAGCATCTTTTCCACATGCCATTTCAGCCTGTTCTCGAGCTTTGTCGGATCTTCAGGAACAGTAGATCGTGCCCCAAGTGTGCCAATGACCTGCTCGCGTTTTACTCGGAAAATTTCGCCGACGGATGTCCAGGCACCCTGGTCTACTCTGGTGTTTGGCCGCAGAGAAACTCCTGTTACTGTTGCTGGCATGTCCTGGCCACCTCCCTGCCCTGCTCCACTACGCTGGAGGACAACTCGCACCAATCCATCCGCACCGTCTTTTCTGTCTGCACATCTTTGTGCAACCGGCAGTGCCCCGTAGTACAGAGCATATCTCGGACGGGAGCAGACCTTTCAGGACGCTGGAATAGTCCTGATACCATCAGTGTCTTACATATTGGGAATTCCTTTCCCCGACAATCCACCAGTAGGAAAAAAAAATATTACCAGATCCTCAGCACGTAATGCTGAACGGCATTAAAATTATTGGAGGCCTGATGCCGGGTGTTAGCGGAGGTGCTGGGAAAAGGGGCCGTTAGACAAGGCTAGAACTCGATAGTTTTTACGACGATCTGTGACTTGCATCTGTAATCTATAAATAAAACCGTTCTCCCCAGACGCTGCCGGCAGCGTTTGATGTTTCGCAATGTTATTCTTCTTCAATTTTGTTCACTTCTCCGGAGTAGTGGGAATCCAAGCGCAGCTGAAGTATAATAACCTTTACTCCGTACCAGAAATCCATATCTAGGTGAGCCGATGCAACGTCCTAGGCAGCGACTTGAGTACCGCCCCCCAACTTTCTTTTCCATCATATTAACGACGGATATGCGAATGAAAAATAGTTATTTTGCGCAGTCGATAGGACCCAAACCATGACCAGATTTCGTTCCAGATCTCCCGTTCGATTGAAGCTTTTTATCTCCCTCTTCCTTTTCCTTGTTTTCCTGGTCTATTTGCCGTCTCGTTGGCGCCGCTCAGCCGGGTCGCGTGCCACCGAATCACAGAGCATATCTATGCCCAAAAACTACTATCAAGAGCACTCAAAGTTCTGGAAAGCATTTCACCCAATCCTCGTCGCGAACGATCCAAATTGCACATCCCCGGAACAATCGGAGAAGGCCAACTCCATACGTTTCGATCCAAATAATGCGGTGGAGCGTCCGGATTTCATCTCGATGCCTCAGGCGGACATCGAAATGATGAAGCTGATGCATAATAGCTTTGTGAATACGCTCATTGACCGGCCTCTCCATCCGTATTACGTACCCGGCACGCGTGGCCTTGTATCGACTGCGGGTGGTCCATTTTTACCGATCTTGACGATATCCTTGCGCATGCTTCGGCATTACGGTTCCAAATTACCGATGGAGGTATTTCTTGCTTCTGAGGAAGAGTACGAGCCGTATATATGCGAGCAAGTTTTTGCAGAATTAAATGCCAAATGCTTGATCCTTAACAGGATCCTCAGGCAGGTCCCTGGACCCATCGATATAAAACAATACCAATATAAACCGTTTGCAATGCTCTTCTCCTCATTTGAAGAGATGTTATTCTTGGATGCGGACGCGTTTCCTCTGCACGATCCGAAGACTCTATTTTCATCGGAACCTTTCCGTTCGTTCAAAATGGTTACCTGGCCCGATTTTTGGGCGTCTAGTGCTTCGCCGCTATATTACAAGATTGCGTCACAACCAATTCCTTCAACGACAGTTAGAGCATCGACAGAATCCGGAGAACTCCTGATTTCCAAGAAGACTCACCAGAAGACTCTTATGCTTTCTACGTATTACAATTTTTACGGGCCGTCCCACTACTACCCCCTCTTCTCGCAGGGCGCAGCAGGAGAAGGAGATAAAGAAACGTTCATTGCCGCTGCTACGGCTGTGGATGAACCATTTTACCAAGTCAGTGAACCACTACGTGCGATTGGGCATAGGGCCGCCGATGGTGGAATGGATGGCTCTGCCATGGTCCAATACGACCCCGTAGAGGACTACCGATTAACTAAGAAGGGGATATTCCGTGTCGCAAACCCTTCCGCAGCTCGTTCACCGAAACCGTTTTTTATTCACGCCAATTTCCCAAAATTCAATCCTGCAACGATTTTCGAAAAGCACGCTACTGATCCTGTTCGGGATCCCCAGGGCAATTACATACGTCAATGGACGATTCCAGAAGATACCATCGACGAATTTGAAGAGGATGTCGTGAAGCGGTTTTGGACCGAGATCAAGTGGGTTGCGTGTGAGCTTGAAGATAAATTCGAAAGTTGGAAGGATAAGAAAGGGATCTGCGACGGTGTGAAACGATACTGGGATGATGTGTTTGAAAAGAAGGGCTGAAAATAGAAACCCGTTGGTTGAATTGGATTTCTACTAGAAGCTCCAGCTCCCGTTCGAACACCAAAGGCCGTTTGAGGACACTTAGCTTTTCGAAAGCTATACGCGTACCGCGAGATTTATCCCTGTTTGGCGTCGTGAAACTCGGCAAGAAGCCTGGCCCCGGTCCTCAGCGAATCGTCCAAACCTCCAGACGATGACCCGGGAATTACTCTACGACAACTTGAAACAATACCCGAGCGTCAAGACATACTTCGTAAATTTGCCAAACGTCGATGCAACTTGTGCGATCGATTGAGAAATAATGTCTGAAAAGCGATCGCCGTTGAGGAAGAGTGGAGACTGCGTGTTCATACCACGGTCACATCCAGCGAAACAGTGCAGCGTGAGGCCCCGATGTGGATCATTTCTGAATACGTGATACTCGGGCTGCTTGATGAGGGCGTATCCCTGTATAGTAGGGATACGCCAGAATGGAAATTACTCGGCTTTTCACGCACAAAGAAAAAACAAAACGATGAATACCTAGTTTACATTGAATTGAAGCTAATGTACAGGATATAGATCTATCTCTATCTTAAAGTATCTCTTAATCCTACATATCCTACAGTATACATAAACCGGACAATTTTCCAGATTTACCAATTCGCACCCACAGTGTGATTTCCTTCCTCATTATCCCATTCCACTTTGCTCAAGGCGTTTGCGAACAGCTCCCGACATGGTACTCTGCTTCCCAATCTTGCACATAGCAAGAATGCTCCGCTAAGTTTCCTATGAAGTGAATACGTCTCCTCGGGCGGCGGCGCCAATCTCTCTCTTAGCATCAAAGGAATCAACTCCTTTACCCGCTCTGTGATTGTTTGATCGCTGAAATCATATATATCAGGAGAACTCTCTCTAAACGGCTCGGCGAGCGTGAGGATGGAGTCGATGTGTGCGTTGATCATGGCTTGTGATTCGAAGCCCGTGAGATAGCCCAACTTGAGAGATAGCTCATGTAACGTCTCGCGATCGTTGCGAGACGCAGCGAGTAAGATGCGGATATAGGTTATAATGAACGAGGCAGGGTACGCGCGTGAGGCGCCAAAATCAAGAAGTTCAAGCCGGTTGGTTTGAGCGTTGTAGAGAAAATTGGTCCAGTTCGGATCGGTTTGCATATATCTGAATTCGCAGATTTCGCGGAGGCAGAGGCGAAGGATTTGAGTTCCAATCCAATCTCGCTGGCCCTGAGTGAAATTTTGGATTTTGGTGACTGCTATGCCGTCCATGCGTTCCATGGTCAAGACCTGTTTGCCCGAGGCGTAGGGGACAATTTCGGGGACAACGAACGTGGGCGTGTCGTCTTGGAGGAATTGCCTGAATTTTTGGCCGCATTCTGCCTCGCGAATGTAGTCGCATTCCCAAGCGAGCTCGATCCGCGCGTTTGCAATGGTTTTATCCAGATATAAACCCTTGGGTAGGAGGCGGGATGCGGTAAGTAGAATCGATAGGTTCTTTAAATCGGAATCAATGGAATCAGCGACACCTGGATATTGTACTTTCACTGCCACTCGTTGCCCAGTTTCTTTCAGTGTGGCGCCGTGAACCTGTCCTATGGACGCGGCAGCCATTGGGACCTCATCAAAAGTTGCAAACAAGTTTCTCCAATCAGATCCCAGATTATCGGTTAAAACCTTGTCCCGCTGCGAAGCAGGCATGTAATCGGCCCTGTCTTGGACACGTTGCAGGACCTCTTGGATCGTTGGGGGTAGCATCTTTGAATCTACCGCACGTATTAATATAATTAACCACATGACCAAGATTCGTGAATCTTAATATCCTACCTTGAAAACTAAGCATCTGTCCAAGCTTAAGGGCGGCGCCTCGCATTTTAGATAGCTTTGCCACAAGACGCTCTATATTTGCAGGATTAAGCAGCAAGGAGCCGGTGCTCGCCTCATCACTGCCAGCAACTCGACGTATGCTTTCGCCCATTATTCCGAATGCCATTGATGTTGCAAGACCGCCGTATTCCCACAGCCTTCCAAGGCGAGATGATGGTATGCGAGATTCTACCATTTGGTATTCTCGTTTTAAAGGGGTCTCATTCGCGTCTATCTAGTACGCTCAATCAGTCGACCAAACACTAAACGTTTATAGTGGCAGCTTACTTTGGCTGTTTCTTCGTGGATTTCTTGAAAGTTTATCGGATTTTGGTCTTGTTCTGTGGGCTGAGCCGAAGCCATCGTTGCTAAATTCGACTTGGGCTCGACTGGACTACTAGCGGGATGGGATGCGCCTGTTGTGCGTTGCGCAGACGCAAGTCCAGGGGCTAAAGGGCTCCTCCCGGACATCTCGTCAGAGACGAAAGATTTTCCGCCGTGGCGATTCCGATATATAGAATTTGACATTTTCTGGCTTCGGAAGAGCTGCTTCACCATATCATCCGGGAGCTCCTCGCGGCTGACAGCATTTTCACTGTTTGTAGACCCCGTTACATTGCTAGTTGTAGTGTCACTCAAATCATCCAGTGGCTCTGTCGTCTTTGGAGCAGACGTTTCATCGCTTCCGATTTTTGGAGGCACTGCATCTCGTTTAGGCGCATATTCCGATCCGAACGCCTGGGCTGAACTTATTTTCACGCCCTCCTGCCCTTCGTCTAGCCCTTCACTATTTCTGATCCCGAGAGAATTTGAATTTTCAGCAAAATTCCTTCCATCCTCCGCTGTTCTAAAATCTTCCGCTCCCACATTAGCCCTTCCCGTGGCAGTGCTCGGTGACGAGTCGTCGAGTTTCCGCGCTAATTCAGTAGCTGCTTTGAGTGCAAGACCCAATCGATCTGACTGAGACTTGATCTCTTTTGTCAGCGACGACGTTCGTGCGTGGATATCGAGGTGCTTTCTCTGCAAAGCAAGGTGCTTTGCGGCGACATTGCGTGTGGCGTTGAGGAGCGTGAGGGCATCGAGAAGACGACGCCCTGACATCGCAGAGATCTAACGGCAAACTCGCAAGCTATCACGTCAATTGCATTGTAATACCATCAATCAGTCGGAACACCCCAACCGTGCGACGGCAATTTTGTCCTGTAAGCGGCGCGATCGGATCATGTATCGGGCGGCCTGGAGCTAAGCTTTTTCTGCTGACCCGAGCCACGGCGGTGAATCCGGGCAATTTTAGCTCTGGAGAGCCTTACCAACCCGCATCCTTAGCAAGACAACACGCTATCATAGGAAGTCCGCAGCACAGTCCATCGGATAACATGGCAATAGGGAAATCACGCGAAGAGCTTGAAAATGAGATTAAAGGTCTGGAACGCCAGCTAGAAAAGGCCATGACCCTTTTGAATCGACAGAATGAAGGCTCACTGCAAGTTGCTGACGTCAATTCCAATGGTCCGTTTCATTTTGGAGCATTTTCCTAAGTATATCACAGCTAAACAAACTTACGGAGCAGATTTTATACCGTCCATGTCCTCCTCTCACTCTCTCTTCCTGCTCTCTGACTCTGCCCTTCCTCTTGGCTCCTTCGCCTACTCCAGTGGGTTAGAATCCTACATCCTTCACAACAAGCCCTTACCACCCAACACATCTCTGCTTGGCTCTTTTTACGATTTCCTCAGACTCTCGATATCCTCGATAGCAAGCACTACATTGCCTTATGTCCTCAAATCACATAGATATCCCGATCACCTCGAAACCCTTGACAATGATCTCGACGCCTCCACGCCATGTTGCGTGGCTCGCAGAGCGAGCGTCGCACAAGGTATGGCATTACTAGTCGTCTGGGAACGATCTTTCAAGGCCTCCTACGGAGCCGCCTCTTTCACAAATAACGCAGGCGGAGAGACCACCCGAGATCGACCCTCTGCTCATGCGCAATTGGCATCTGCTGCTCTGCATTCGTTTTCAGAATTGTTGAAACAACCTTCAGCCGATGGGGATGAAGATCTGCTGAATGGGCATCCGAACGGCCATCTCGGACCTCTTTGGGGCGTGGTTTGCGCCGCTATGGGAGTGAATCTACGCCAGATGGCATATGTATTTATGCTGAATCATGCAAAAGCCTTACTCAGCGCCGCGGTGAGAGCGTCTGTTATGGGCCCCTATCAGGCACAAGAGATATTAGCTAGTCGAGCGTTGCAGAATTTAATTGTACAAAGAATTCAAAGGGAATGGGATGTTGAGCCGGAAAATGCTGGGCAGGTAGTTCCGGTCATTGACTTATGGGTGGGCCGGCATGAGCTTCTCTACAGCAGGATATTCAACTCGTGAGGTGTAAAGGAACGTCCGCCCGAAGCTCAGGGCAAGATATAAAGCCGAATAATAGCATCCTTGATTGCGTCGAAGAATTATCAAAATTCGTAAACACGCCAGTTGTATGTATGTACATCGTGTAAGCTAAACCCTAGGCCAACCCGACCGTCCCAATCGACGGAATACCCTGAACAGACCGCAAAACTCCAACAACTGCCTAACGGAGCCTAAGGCAAAACCGCCGGACCCAGAAGATAAACGCCACCTCCGCCTCATGAACTGCAGGAAAACCGCTGTGAAAAAAACCCATGCTAAAGACGGCCAAAAAGCCCGCATTGTTTCCAGCGCCATCCGTTTCGAGATTGTTACCACGACAGGCCGAGTCTCCTCGTTCAACTCTCATGAAAGCGCCACGAAAGAAAGGGATAAACAGAACTAAAAGGTATTGTACAAAACGAGAATGTAAAGGCGAGCTTGGCGATAAACGCAGAAAAAAACCGGGAGAATCGTTAAAGGGTGATATGCATGTAGTCGTTGTTACCGAATGACTTATTGCAATTAGGACATTTTCTAGACCGAGAAGTGAGTCTTTCCTCGACACACTCTTTGCAGAACACATGACCACAAGTTTTGATTGCTGTATTTTTCCAAGTTCTGCGACACACGGTACAGAGTGCCAGAGTCTGAGAAATCGTTAACAGGTACCCGGTGAGCTTATCAAAGAGAAGAAACTTACTCTCAGCATTTCGTATTCCGAGGAAGAATTACCCAACCCCTTCGCCTTCCAAGACTCGAGGCTTTTCTTGGTGTCCGCGAGTATTGACTTAAGACCCTCAACCGTATTTTCAGCTTTTCGGCAAGTACTATTGGCGGACGCGAGGGAGGCATCTCTGTTGGCAAGAAGAGCTTTCAGTTCTGCGACTTGTAGCCTTAATCCCTGAATGGCAAGATTTGCTTCTGTGACCTGCTGCTGGGATGCTCGATGTTGCGCAAGGGCGCTATTCAAAGCTTCCTTTGTCTCTGAAAGCTGCTTTTCAACGTTTGAGACAAGATTCCGGGTCATACTTTCGGATTCTTTGAGTTGAGATATGATATCGGAACTTTTCATATTTTGAACTCGTAGTGTCCGAAGTTCCAAATCACGCGCTTCCTTACTCTTCATGGCAGCAAAATATTTTTGATCGGCTTTCGACTTCTCTGCTATTAGTCGCTGAATCTTATCTTCGAGATTGGCAAATTCAGTGATCTTCTGAGACGCGAGTTTAGACGTCCGCTTGAAGGCTGCTTGCATCGAGGAAAGCTCGGTATTCAGTAACTCGTATTGTTTATCCAGAGTCTCGTACTTCGCCCTCAATTCGTCCATGGATAGTTCAGTCGTCGCCGAACGGACATCTTTGACGCCATCTATTTGAAGATGTAGTCGCTCAACTTCCGACTCAAGCGATGTAATACGAGCTTCTCGGGCTTCCAGTAGTTCCTTCATCTGAATCAATGAAAATTTTTCTTGCTCTTGAGCGGCCTTCCGCATTTGCTGGTCAGCAAGCAGTTCATCCCGAGCGTTTCTGATACGAGCCAAATCCGACTCTACTTTAGAGAGATAGGCTTCCTTTTCACCGAGAGAAGCTTGAACCTCGTTTTCTATTTGTACTTGATATGCTGTCCTTTCTGTTTGAAGTTTCTTGGCTTCTTCGCGTAATTGTACATTCGTCGCTTCGAGGTGATTTACTCGCTTAATCACATCTTCGTGCTGAGACTTCAGCTGTTTAAAGAGATCGGTCTGGGAATAATCTTCATCGGATAATTTCGAAAGCTGACTATGTTAGACAATGTTCGGTAAAAAGGCTAGCAGAAACCGACTATCTTACCTTAACATGTAGATCCGTTAATTGAGTGGATAGTTTCGAGTTCTCAGCTTCCAATTTCTCAATTTGTTCTTTCTGAATTTCCGAAATTGCAATGGTTTTGTTGTAGGACATCTCTAATTCGGAAAGTTTTTCTGTCGAATCGGACGGACCATTAGGACCGGAACTTTCCTCGCGTCGGGCCGACATATTTTCTCCACTAGACTTTTGTGCTCCAAGAATATATTGCTTTTCCAATCGAGCAACTGTCAGACTCTTCGCCCTATCTATCCTTTTCTCTGCGACCATATATCGAAGTGACGCTGCTTCGAGGCGCTCTTCGAGCTGTTGCTTGTCGGCTAGCGCTTGATCGAGTTCCGCGATTGTTGCTTTTTCTTCTGCTAGTTTTTTATTGAGCTGAGACTGCAGCTCTGCCACGTCACGCGAAGCTTTCGGAGCACGCGCGGATAGTAACAACATAGTAGACTTAATTAAATCGGCGCGATCCTTTAAATGCTTTTGAAAATTCTCATTGCCGGTAAACAACAGAGCGCTTTGGGGTGGGGATGAATCTTTCAATCTGTATCAGCGAACAATAGCTTGTCTTGGACAGGGAATTTGGCTACCTTCAGAGGCTTCGCCTAGAGGCCCGAGTAAAACTTTAACTTCGTCAAGCAACTAAAATCGCAAAGAAAAAGAAAAAAAATCAGTTAAGTCCTAACCTCAAAACTAAACAGGACGAAAGAGTGGAGTGGAAAACAAGTACCTGTTGCAGCCAGGCGTCAATAACACGAATGTGTTCATCGTGATAAGCAGCGGATTTTGTCAATTCCTTGATGCGGGCTTCTAGTGTTGTTTTTTCGCGCTTGTACTCTTGCATCTGACGCAGGATTGCATCTTTCTGGAATCGCTATTCAGGAGTGCTAATTAGCCTCCGTTATCGGCGAATCGACTTGCCATCAAATGAAGGGAAACGTTTTATCATTTCGCAGATAGCATCCTGCAACATACCTCCAAATCGTCCTTCCATGGCATATCGGCGTCAGGGTGAATTTTGGCACCACCATTCACAGAGGTCGCTTGCCTCTTCGAGGGAGGGGTAGAATCGCTAGGATCATGGGAAGCAGGCCTTTTCCGGTCCTCCATCTTGCCGACAAGACCAGGCTTGGTTAAAGGGACCGTTGACGCCTCGATGACCGTCATCAGGGTAATGCCGGTTCATGTAATGAGAGGCGCGCCCTCAACACCAAGGAGACAACAAAAGAAGCCGCCAGAAAGCCTTCAGACCGACTGGCGAGACTGACGCGAAGGAAAGCGGCAGAGAGGAGGAGAAGGACAACACGGGCAGAGAGGAAAGAGTTGAGGTCGTGGTGAGAGTGAAGTTCAAAGGGAGGATTTTCCACCCGTTCCAGTCTTAGCGTAGCGCTTGGCATTTTCACGTGACTCACAGATTGACTCTGCGCCACGGGGCTTGGCGGCGGCCTGCGCTGGGTCGTGGCTTTTGCCCCCCCTCCAATCCATCCATCCAGCCCCAGACCGACGCCCACAACTCGACTTGCCGACGACCGTGGTGGACGATGAGCGCGACGACCGCAACGTGGACCACGCACATATCGCCGCATTAGCCGAGTGAGACTGCCAGACGCGGGCCAAACGCCGCCATGGCTTCCTTCTCGAGCTCTGTCATCAGTGAGCCCAGATTTTCCCCTCCCCCGCTCGACTGCGCTCTATGCATGCTAATCAATTATTGGTAGATAAATCCGGGAAAAAATTCGCTCCCAAGATACCAGCGCGTCGTGCGCCTGCTCCTTCCACTACCCCAGCCCCGCCAGCACGAGACACCACTCTGCAACCGTCGCAAGCATCGCAAATCTCTTTCCAAGCACAATCGTCCCCACCGGCAACGGCACCTCCGGCACCAGCATCTTCTTCGACTCCTGTTAAGTCTCCAGAACATGCAAGACAGTCAGCTCAACCCTCTTCACCTTCGCCCCGAACACGTCGAAGCCCCGCATCCCCCAAGGCCGTTCGCATCCCCCTACCTTCAAGAAGGTCCTCCGTTTCCAAGGCTCCTCAAACCCAGTCTAGTACCGTTAAATCACCTTCACAAAAGCCAACGTCACTGGGGACAGGAAATGCAGGATCTACGTTAATCAATACTCCGAGAGCTGATGCCCAAAGTGGCTCCCCAGCGCCAGGCCGTCCGAGCTTCGTGACCCTAGATATCACAGAGACCCCAGCGCTCTCTGATTCGCAAACAAGCGTCCGCCCAGCAAAGCGAATCAGAGTCTCGGAACCAGAAACGCGGATACTTCCTCCTTCGCGCAGAGAAGCGGAGAGTCAGGCCATAGCACCTACCGCATCTGCTGCATCTGTAACGCCATCTGTGGAGTCGACGACAACCCAAGATACTGAGGCTCCAGTCCCGGCCACTAAGAAAACCGCTACGTCAAAGAGGTCTAAGGCTAAGCGCAAAAGAGTAGCGGAAAATGATGGGGAGGAATGTGCGGAGGATTCAGTGCGTCCACGGAAACCCCGCGGCCGGAGGAAACGTGAGGAGACACCCGAAAACGCCGAGTCGATCGAGATAGTCTCAGCAGTGGTTAAGATGTCAGATCTGTGTAGAGACCTACGCACAGGGAGAAAGTCGAAACGAGAAATGGAGCTAAGAAGCATGGAAGCTGCAGAATTCGCAAGGAAACAAAGGGAGAGAGAAAGCAGGGAGCAGAGTACGACTCAAGACCAGAAAAAAGATACGACCGAAAGGCAGTCGGAATCAAGAGAACAACGGCTAAGTCGGGATGAAATAAAAGCCAGCGGCCCGCAAATGCGTATCGTGAATGGAGAGATCGTCTTGGATACATCTTCGTTGCAAATGGACCGACATGCTGATGCGGCTCGGAATGCGGAGGAGATGGAAGAAGTGGTAGAGAACCCTCTAACACGACGCATTAATCAAGCATCCTTTGGAAAGCGAACAAGATACGAGGCGTGGGATGAAGAATTAACCGATTTGTTCTACAAGGGCCTGAGGATGTTCGGAACGGACTTTATGATGATCAGCAAAATGTTCCCTGGCCGGACGCGGAGACATATAAAGTTGAAATTTTGCAATGAGGAGAGAAAGGATCCTGAACGGATCAAGGAGACGCTACTTGGTCCTCGCGAAGCTGTCGACCTCGACGCATACTCGGAGATGACTAATACAGTCTATGATGATCCCAAGGTCATCCATCAAGAGCTGGAGGAGGAGAAGAAGAGAATCGAACAGCAACATGCGAAGGAAAGAGAAGCGCGTGAGGAGCAGCTTCGTAATCCTGGCGATGGAAATGTACTGCCCAGTATAGAAAATGGGGCAGATACGAAGCGAGGTCGGAGTCAAAAGAAAAAACAGGCCAAGTCCGCCCAATTTGGTGGAGGCACTGAAGAGATTCTTGGTACAATTGATGACTTTTAAGTTCGAATCGATCACACGCCCTTTCCTAATAAATGTCTTGGTTTCACTATGTATATTATTATCCGCATGTCGAATGCTAGCTATATAGTGATAGAAACCAAACAAGCTTAGTTCCAAGCGATTAGAGTAACTTATTTCTAATTCCCCCCCCCCCCCCCCCCCCCCCGGCTTTGCATTTCGCGCCTAACGACGTCTTGTGCCTCCAAAGCCTGTGCTCTCTCTTGTCCAGTTAGACGGGCCGGCGCTGCTACTGCCAGAGCTGCTTGGGGTATATACGGTTCTCCGGCCTGACGAACGCCGATTTCCCAGCCCGTATCCTGCTAGCCCCCCAGCGAGGGCTCCAGACCAGAATCCCGGCTGCCATGTTTCCGTCTTCGTATACCTTCCATGGTAATCATAGGGTGGCGGAGGGCCAGGAGGCCCCCATCCGCCTCCACCACCACCGCCAAACCAACCACCCGCTCCCCTCACATTGCCAATAGTAGACCGATTACAATAACTCATCAACGCAATGAAGGTCCCCATGACGATAAAAATCGTACCCACACCTTTAACGAAATCCCACAGCTGCTCTGCCCAACTTCTGTCGTCCAACGCACCGCCCGTCATATAGGGGAATTTTCTCTCTCCCTCCTCCGTCAGCAGCATCCGATACTCTACCCCGCAACTTCCTTTCAATATCCACGGATCATTGGAGTCTCTATACCCTTCGCACACTACTTCTGTGCTACCCAGCTTAAACTCCGGGGGCAACTCGGCTGTACACGTCCACTGGATATCATTCTCGTCGTAGTCGTAGCCTTGGTTTGTGCAGCGCATAACGTCGGGTATATACAAGGAGCAGATGCGTTTGGAAGGGCCGACGCAAGTTAGCTGCGGGATAGCGGAGACGCGTCGATGGCTGGTTTTTCGGTTTGCATGGAGAGTGAGGGTCTGGATGTTTGAGAGGAGAACGGCATTGCGGGAAGGGGATTTGTTGGGATTGTAGGCTGTTGTCTGGTCGAGGAAGAAGGGGAGGAAGAGGAAAAATGCAGCGGGAATGGGCAGCATCGTGGAAGGCCGCTTCTTCCAGGGGAAAGCTGGTATGGGAAAGTAGGTGTCTCTCTTTAATCGTAGAGCTTCGCTCTTAAAAGAGTCTCCAATATTGAGCTCAGGGGGTGGGAATTAACTAGTTAGGATTGTGCAAGTTGAGAGAATCAGATTGCATTCAGGACAAGTGGCATCATGAGCAGCCGCGGGGCATTTCGTGGCATCGCGTTGAACAGAACAACTTCATCAACCGAAGCTGGCTTACAGGCAGAAACAATAACTGAGCGTCTCCCCTGCGCCAGCCAACAGGTCCAGACTTGGACGGATCTCGGCGCTCCGACTACAAGCAAACAGCGTGGCAGCTTCGACGCCAAAGAGATAAGATCAATCTGATAGCTGCGGGCTCGTAGGTGGCCAAAGGCATGCTCTCAGCCTTGCATTCTATACAGAGTACAAAAGCTGGATCTTCCCCCCGCAAACAGTCTGATGCCTACGACTCCACGCAGTTTTCGTCTCTTTTCTTCTTGTTTGAACCTTGCAATGAGGGAGGTTCCTACGGCGGAAGGCCCGACTTGAAAATTTCTCAGCCTTACTTGCAAAGTCTTTTTGGCGATGGAAACTGAAGCGCCCAGCGCCTCGGAACGCGTTGTCCTCCGGGTAGGGGAATCTCAGTACTTTACAACCGTTGGAACATTGGTAGAAAAAAGCCAATACTTCAAGTCCTACTTTTCCGGCGCGTGGCCGATCGAGAAGGAGGAGGATGGATCCATATTCATCGAAGGTGACCCGCATGCTTTTGATTATGTTATGCAATATCTTCGACGGGGAACATTCCCCCTTGCCTTCGACGTTCAGAGGGGGCACAATTATTCTATGTACTCCAGGGTACTGGAAGAAGCTAAATATTTTCAGTGCCCGCTGCTTGTTGCGTGGTTGGAGGACGCGTGCTACAACAAATGTGTTACCTGGCGAGTAGAAACTACTATCCAGGAGGCCACCGAACTAGCCTCGAGCGGGAACGGCAGTACGAGGGATCCGAAGTTCAGCCCGTACTCCAAGTGTGCAGAAAAGGTCTATGAGTGCCCTCGGGGAATACCAGGGCACCGGGGGGGGAAGGCGTGTGGCAGGAAATGTCGAAATGCCCAAGGAAATGACCCGCGAGAATTTGACACCGAAAGTGTCATCGAGAAATGGATAGTGGCTAGAACGGAGTATCTTCCCCATCTTGGATGGATGACGGACTCTGGGTACCTTTCCCATTCCAGCTTATCAACCTAATACTAATAACATACGTTTGAAGGAAAGATTTCCTAGCGCACCTGGCAACGCGCCCGACCCTTGAGTAGGTCCACCCGTGGTGGCTGATATGATGTGCTAGATGTGGCATACCCGGAAATCCGTCTCTCAAAATTTCTCGAGTCATCAACCCATGTTCAGGCTGCAGATGAAGGTCTAAAACCAATGCTACTTGTAACCCGGGTGCCCCGTACGGAGAAATCATGGTTTGATAACTATATATCTAATTGTGCTCACAAGCAATTCTAGTATGAACCCTGGCTTGTGTGAGCGAGCTTTTATTAGTCGGAGAATGAAAGCTTTGCTGTGCTATTTACTTCTCTTTTAACCTATCGTGTGATCAGTGGTTGTACATCCTGAATGTAGTTCAAGAGGTTGTTGCCCAACCTACTCTGTAAAGGGTGCAGAGGTTCGAGCGTATCCTTCATTTGTTCAGGAAATGGTATGTCATTGTGTTATCGGGTGCCTATACTGATTCAGAGCTACCATTGTCGGATTAAACACTGTGGATGCATATGTATTTATCTTTCATCCTTGCAACCAGCTGTCTCAGGCAGGGATTATTGATCAACTGATGCCCAAAATGCTTTCGGCACCCGTTTCTCCCGCTACCCCAAATGTTATTGACAGTTACTCCTTGATCACTTACTATTTCGTCGTGTGCGAACCCAAGACGTGGAGTTCTTGCGTCCTTGGGGACCATCAGCTCTTCAAGAACAGGTGATATAAAATAGATTGGCGCATCTTTCGATATAGTGAGTACAGCACCTTGCATTTAAGTTTCGTTTCGGACTTTGATATCAAAATTTGCTATGGGAATTACACAAGCATAGTGATAAAGCTATGGAGTACGGAGTACAACAATACAGTAATCTAGTTACATCATACCTCCCCAAATGCTTTCCCTTGAACGACGGTGTTTTTTTGGGATATTATTATTCTAGGATTTACATTTCTGAGCTAGCCTAGAGCTGTATAGCAATATATTCATTTATATATGGTGATTGATCTTGACATTAAAGCTTGGAATCCGGGGTGTTAAGCGTGCTGTACGGAGTATTTATGCAGAGTTTGGGGGTGAGCCGCGTTGGGGTTTCATGCTCCCTCTCCACGTCGCTCGCGGGTGCCGTTCTTCGCTAGATGGCCTGGACATGTGACTAAATATCAACGGTGACAAGCGTCAACGAGCGAGCATCGAGGCTCCGGGTGGTCCATCGATCGTGCAAAAGCTGTCATAGCTGAAATGGAAAAGCCATCTAGCTCATCGTCAGATCACAATGTCAAGTGCGTCCCGCAAAAACTGGATTTGCTAACATACTCTTCGCTCATGCTTAAATAGATGATACTTCCGCCCAACCTGCGCAATCTTCGTCTGTATCACAGGTCCAATTCTACAAAACGAAGCTAATGGCTGCTTAGACTCTCATTTACACAAGGACTGTTGGTTGGCCAACTCTCCGTCGTTCTCTTAATCGGCGCATTCATCAAGTTCTTCATCTTTGGTGAAGCTTCTCCCTCTTCCTCCCGGAGCCAGACTCGTCGAACTAGCCCCCACAAACGGTCGTATTCCATAAGTGGAGCAAGGGATCTTGGTTCTCGATCGCTGAAAGAGAAGCCGTCCTCCAACGTCTTACGGCCGGTACCGTCCTCATCTACCAATACTCGATCGATCCTCCGGAAGACGTATTACAGTGCCAATCCCACCAATTTCACCTCAAAACATGGCCGCCATAGGCCTCACCATTCTACACATCAACCGGAGTCGCTGGATTGGTTTAATGTCCTGATAGCGCAAACCATCGCTCAGTACCGTCAAACCGCTTATATCCTTAAAGATTCTCCGACCTCCTCTATACTCGAGTCGCTTGCTACAACGCTCAATAATCCGGAGAAAAAGCCGTCATTTATCGATGATATTACAGTAACAGATATATCCCTGGGAGAGGAATTCCCGATATTTAGCAATTGCCGGGTTATTGCAATCGATGACCCGAGTTCGGACGGTGGCCGCCTACAGGCACTTATGGATGTCGATCTGAGCGATGATAACCTTTCTTTGGCTATTGAAACGAACCTGGTTCTTAATTACCCAAAACCTTATTCGGCGATCTTGCCTGTTGCCCTGTCAGTTTCTGTCGTGAGGTTTTCAGGGACACTATGCATATCGTTTGTTCCGGGCACCACGCAAACTTCGACCCATTTAGCGACATCACCATCAAATATCGATCCTACCTTACAGACCAATGATTATTCCGGGGCAAATAGACGTGGCAACCGTCGTCAAGAGCGGACAGATACCGAGCAAGCGACGCAGGCTAACAACGCTGGCACGACGGGCATTCCCAAAACCAGCTTAGCATTTTCTTTTCTCCCGGATTATAGACTTGACCTTTCTGTCCGCTCCCTTATCGGTTCGCGGAGCCGCCTTCAAGACGTGCCCAAGGTTGCTCAGTTGGTGGAAGCTCGCGTGCAGGCATGGTTTGAAGAAAGGGTTGTTGAGCCACGGGTCCAGGTCGTTGCCTTACCGGGTATCTGGCCTAGAATGGGCCGCACCGGGGTTAGAGGACAGGAGGAGCAACAAGAAGTGGGCTCCAGTGGGAACGCGGGGGTATCCACTGCTAACGTTAGCATGCTGGGAGCCCGCGATGCTGGGGCTGAAGGGTCGCATGCCACGAGGGACGCTGATATGGAAGGTCTTAGATATCGCCGGAATGCTTCTCCGGGCGATGAGACTTCTGGTGTCAGATATTCACCCCAAAATCAGGATAGTCGAGAGCAAGCCTGTAGGGACGATCCTTTCAGAATACCAGGGTCCTTGCCCGATGTCGTTCCTGTGACCTGACACCCGGTTCGAAGGTTAGTGGCTTCAAATGTATCTGCGTGATACTTTTGAGAAATCCGGTCATATCTTTTTTTTGGTCCGCTTGCACGAACCCCGTCCCCCGCATATAGGTGAATCTATCGCCTCCCAAGGAATGTATGGAGAGTCAGGATATTTCGGATCTAGGTATTGAAAAGTAATTATGACAACTGTGCACACTCATTTTGACGAGAATATGATCTTAAAACTATGGGTGTTCACAGGGTTTTAATTATTCCACAGCTGATTGGTGAAGAAGTTTGTAATATTATGGGTATGAAATGTGTATAACAATGTTGGCTTAAATATCCATCATGTTGCTATGTGCGAGAGTAGCCGGCTATCTAAGCAGCAGCCACAGTCCGAGATTGCAAATACGCTTTGCGATGCTTGTTTGTGTCAACCTCTGGACTTCTATTCAAAGGGGTCCATTTGGGCTCGTCCTGGAATAACCGCATAGCTTTGATGTACTATTTTACCCCCGGATTAGTAAAACCCAATCTTTCTGGGCGTAACATGAATCCGCATTAGTTCAATACTCACATTGCTCTCCCCTGTCGTAAACCGATGATATATGCCCGCAGGCAATACCAAGAGATCATCCTTTTCCACCGCAATCCTCACCCATTCATCACCTTCACTCCGTACGTCAAAATAACCCTCTCCGTCAAGGATATATCTGATTTCTTCATCTTCATGTAGATGCTCGTGGAAAAACATTTTCACTTTCTCTTCGTAGACGTCGCCCATTTTCTCAGGGGAGATGGTGATCTCATCGCGATTCTTGTAGCCCCGATCACTAGCGAGGGAGTCGACGTCTGAGATATTGGGGCATCGACGGTATAGGACACCAAGGCTTGAAAGATAAGATTCTTCTACGGCACGGCCGGAGTCGTGGCGAGCGCGTTGGTCGCCCTGAAGCGAACGTCAACAAGCATGATCAAAGTAGGTTGCGTTATCGGCGGGGCCAAAAGAGAACGGAGGGGACGTTACCTCCTTGTTATCGTACCAGTACGCTTTCATGTTGGGTAATTGAATATCGTCTATCTATCCTAATACCTCCTAACCGCGTTCTAATACTGCTAGCATAGATAGATGCAATAGATGGATGCTCCTTCAAGCGATCGAACAGCGGCTTGTGAGCTTTCAGTTCCCCGCGCTGACGAAAGATAGGTGTAATCCGATTGGCCAATCTGTCAAAGCCTCGGTTTTCGGCTTTTTAAAAATCCGAGGCAAAAAGTTTATCCGGAAATACTTTAGCCCGATCACCAAGGGTTGAGGTCATTATCAGCTTCGATGCCAGGAAGCAATTCCATTACCTTTCGTCGAATGGATAACTGTCCGGACGCCGTGGGTGTCATTTCATTCAAAAATGTTGGGGATACGGCTTCCTAGGCCGCTCTTCGGAGTGCGCACTTTATATAGAAGACAACCACGAAATCGACGGAACTTTGCGACTGTGAAAGATGGCGCCCGGTACGTCTGATCAAGGCGATATTTGCGTCTATTTCTCTCCCACTAACTTGCCCATAGTCCATTTGATGTGGTTGTTATTGGAGGCGGGCATGCTGGCTCCGAAGCTTGTGCGGCGGCTGCTCGATCGGGCGCTCGGACTGCCCTCGTCACACCATCCCGTTCCAATATCGGCGTGTGCTCCTGCAATCCGAGTTTTGGTGGCATTGGGAAGGGTACGGTGATTCGCGAGATTGACGCGCTAGACGGAGTAGCCGGCAAGATAGTGGACAAGGCAGGAATTCAATTTCGAGTGTTGAATAGGTCGAAAGGCCCTGCTGTCTGGGGTCCCAGGGCGCAGATTGACCGCGATCTGTACAAAAAGTATATGCTCGAGGAGTTATCGAATTATCCCGGACTAAGCATTGTGGAGGGGAAAGTGGCTGATATAGTTGTGTCCCGAGAAGATCTGGGAAGTACTCCTGGCGTGAAGGGCAAGATTGTTGGCGTGAGACTGGAGTCAGGGGAAGTAATACCAACTGGGCGTGTGGTAATTACGACGGGAACTTTCTTAGGAGGGGAGATTCATATTGGCCTAGAAGTTTTCCCGTCCGGTCGAATGGGAGAGGCAGCGACTTTTGGTTTGAGCAAATCGCTTCGTGAAGCTGGCTTCCAGCTTGGACGCTTGAAAACTGGGACGCCGCCCCGCCTTGATCGCAAGACTATTGAATTTTCTGCCCTCGAAGTCCAGCCTGGAGATTCTCCACCCAGCCCTTTCTCCTATCTTAACGATACTGTGGACGTGGGCGATGAGGGCCAGTTAACCTGCTGGTCGACGTACACCAACGAGAATGCCCATGCGATTGTAAAGGCGAATCTGGATAAATCGGTCCATATTCGAGAGACGGTAAAAGGCCCTCGATACTGTCCTTCTCTAGAATCCAAGATTCTCCGGTTCAAAGATAAACCCAGACATATGATTTGGCTTGAGCCCGAAGGATTTGCACCCAACGATGTGATCTACCCTAACGGTATCTCGATGACGATTCCCGCCGATGCGCAGTACGAGATGCTTCGCACTATACAAGGTCTGGAAAACGTCAAAATGCTCCAGCCTGGTTATGGAGTTGAATACGACTACGTCGATCCCCGCTCTTTGAAATCAACGCTTGAAACCAAACTTATAAGTGGTCTTTATCTCGCTGGCCAAATTAATGGCACGACAGGCTATGAGGAGGCGGCCGGCCAAGGCATTCTTGCTGGTATTAATGCTGGCCTGGCCTCCCAATCAAAACCTCCGATGACCCTCTCTCGTTCTGACGGATTTATTGGAATCATGGTTGATGATCTTATCACGAAGGGTGTCACTGAGCCTTACCGCATGTTCACAACACGTAGCGAATACCGTATTTCTACCCGCGCAGATAACGCAGACCTTCGACTGACCGAAATGGGCCGTGCAGCAGGAGTAGTCACCGACAAGCGCTGGAACCATTTCAGTGACACCAAATACCAGCTGCTTGAACTGCAAACACTTCTTGAAAATACCAAATATCCTTCCACGGTATGGTCGCGAAAGGGATTCCGGGTCCATACTGACTCGAGCCTCCGCTCCGCATTCGAACTCCTCTGCGTTAATAACGCAGATATTGACGCTATCATCCCCCATATCACCTCGCCAAGCGGCATTTCATACACCTCCGGCTCGTTTGACCCTAAAATCAAGGCTCGCGTCACTATAGAAGGAACCTATTCACCTTATATCAAACGGCAGGCGAATAGTGCTCGTATATTTGCTCGTGATGAAGCCCTCCTTCTACCCCCGGATTTAGACTATTCAAAAATCCACGGTCTGAGCACCGAGGAACGGCATGCTCTGGAAAGAGTACGGCCCGAGAGCGTTGGTATGGCACGGCGAATTGAGGGTGTTACGCCTACCGGCGCCCTCAGGCTGCTAATGCACATACGCAAAACCGGTGCCTGGGGAAGCAAAGGCGATTTCGGACCAGCCGCTCTAGGTGAGGCCGAAGCCGAGTCCGGCGTGGCATCTTCGTCCGGTTAAAATATTTCTTCTTCAGGCCCTTTCATTACAGCGATATTGAAAGCGATCGCAATGAAGGTCCACTTTATGTTCAACCTGTTTTATGGAGGAAATTCACGTTTGATTTCCCCTAATGTGCTGTTGTTTCCCATTTCACCGCACATATTGGCGTGGGCAAAATGATTCATATTTCCTTTTGGCCCTCTTTTTAACAGATCTTCTTATACCCAATTTACTGCATAATTGTTCTACCACGGAGCGAGTATGGGTCGGGAATAACATGTCTTAGCTGGAGTTTGGGAGGCCAGGTCATGCATTCCTTGGTAAGAATTAGACACATGTTTCCATAAACATTTAGGTACCGGTCATTGGATTGCTTTCAATACATGATCTCATCACTCTGCCTTCCCTGGCTCCCCTTCATTGTTATTCCTACCATTAAGTAGTAGGGCACTCACCTTAAAGCTGCCTGTTTTGGCTAGGATAAAATGTCGGCTGGCAAGAGCGTAGATGACTCCAGCTTTGTTTTCAACCTCAAACATAATTATATAAAGGAACAACGGAATTCTCAGAGCTTCAAGTTTTTCCATCCCTACAAAGTGCGTTCTTGGAGACCATACTCTGTTTCTAGGTGTGTCGATAGTTCCAGTTGGTGGATAGGGAAACACATCAAGAAGCCAGCAACCGCGAATCGTATTGCCAAAAGCCAGGTGAACCGCAAGCCATCAACGTAGACTCCAATCACTTCTGAAAGCAATTTCCGATTGGAGCCGAGAGTCCTTGATAGGCCTGCACTCGCAAGTCCATATGCGCCACCATTAGAAAGCTGTACGCGTAGCGATGGGTCATTGATTCTCCCAAGAATCGATTCGATTTTATCGTTAAAGATTGCCGTAGGAATCGCTATACCCCACACCGATCCGAAGCTGCGCATGAATGACCACGTCGCTGTGGCTCTGGCCATATCAGCTTCCCTGACAGACGCTTGGATGGGAGGCAGTGTGCTCGAAAATACCATCCCTGCTCCAGAGCCAAAAAGAAGCTGGAATCCCACCCAGTGTCCTGTTGACGACTGATTGTCGAGAGTGGAGAAGAGGCCTACCCCCACCGACATTAAGCCAAAGCCAAGGAAATGGAATGCTCGATATTTGCCTGTGGCCGCGATGAGGATGCCCGTCAAGATACCTAGCGGCGTAATAGCAGCAGTGATCGGAAGAACATAGAGGCCGGACATGGTTGACGAGGTGCCAAGGACCGCTTGGAAATATATAGGCAGAAAATAGCCGGTCCAGTAGACTAGAATTGAAAGGACAAAGCCCAGGAGCAATGCGCATAGGGATGTCGGGTTTGGAAACAATCGTAATGGGATTGATGGCTCGACACAGATGCGTGATGTTTGGTGGGTATAGAAGAGGATCATTCCCACAAATCCAACGGTAAGGGGTGTGATAATCCTCCAGGACGACCATGGATATACCGTACCTGCCCAGGTCAGGGACAACAGGATAGACACAACAGCTGCCACAAGAATCCCATTACCCAAAAAGTCAACCCTGGAAAGGCGCTTGAAGATGTTTTCACCTCGTGGGTGAGATACTTTCAAGAAGAAGTATAAAAGAAATAGAGAGGCCGCCGATAGCGGCAAGTTGATGTAGAAGATCCACCTCCATGATACGTGCTGCGCTAACGCACCCCTAAGCACGGGGCCAATTACTGTCCCGAAAGCCCATATTGCCGCCATCAGCGCAACATATTTGCCTCGTTCGCGCATGGGCACCAGATCGGAGATGATTATATCAACGAGGGTGCCGATGCCCCCACCGCCGATGCCCTGAACCGTTCGGCCTACAATAAGCATCGTATTTCCATTCGCACCTCCTGCCAATCCGCTGCCAAGAGCAAAGAAGACGACGGAGAGAATCATAAGGGATCTTCGACCAAAGATATTGGAGGTCTGACCGAAAAGCGGTTGCACGACTGTCGATGAAAATAGGTACGCGTTCGTGATCCAGATGTACAGCGTGCCTGAGTTGAGCTCCTTCGATATGGTCGGGAGTGCCGTGGAGAGGATGGACGTATCGAGTGAGGAGAGAAAGGTAGTCATGCAAAGGGCAGGAAAGATAGCCCAAAAGCGCCCGCTTTTCTTAGTCGTCGTCGGTATTATTGATGCTGTTGTCAGCGCCGATGGTGCTAGAGTGCGAGCGCCTGGATCTTCCGCTCTAGTTGCTGTCACCATACTGATCTGTTTGACTTGGTGATAGAGAGAATGAAGCAATTTCTGCCCTTCCACGGAGAGAGAAGTTCATTTTGAATATTCATCCCTCGGTGGGTTCTAACCCCTAGCTAGCATCCTAGCTTCTCATCGAGCCCGGCTGGTAATGCGCTGACAGGGCCCATCTTACAAAACGCCAGGCCGTTGGTAGCACTATCTTCTTTCGGGGATTCCGATGAACTTCACAGTTAGTTGTGACGGGGAGAGAATGGGAATGTACCATTTATGAGTGCATTACTGACACCGGGCCCTTGTTTGTTGGCCTTTGGCCTTCCAGCAAAACAGCTCGCCCGGTGCCTCTCCACCAATCTCGGAACCCTTACTCTTCTCGGCAATGTCATGGCGTCGTCAACCCTAGCTAGTGAGCTACGGGCGAGGGCCATTTGGTCTGCAACCGGGGGTCAGTTAATCCCGAAGTATCCGGGCAGGGCGCTTTTCAATTGCATGGTCCATCGTATCGGGTCAACGTGTGGGCGGATAAGACCAAGTTGAAGTTATCATTAGTCTCAGGATACTACTGCCGTCTCCTCTAGAGAAGAGAACTCCGATAGTTGTTTTTCATTCCCTTGAAAACGTAATGTGTGAGCCTTGTCTTTTCTTTTCTTTAGATAGAATACGGACGGACTGGTAGGACTCGGAATTGGGCGCCCATTCCACTGAGACGTGATAATATATACAAACGGATGCTCGGCGCGTCCACTCATGATTTTTTTTTCACGTTATCCGGCTTCGTGATTATCCTTACAGCATTTTTCAAGGACGTCGGTCCAGACCAGACGGTATGTACTTCGTGCCCCGACAAGATATCCAGCAAACCAACAGTCGGTCAAGGCTGAGCTGTGGAGGTGAGGTAGGGGTAACTGCACGTGATGACTATGGACAAAAGCGGCAATCCTTGCGAGGGCGGTGGGGAGATGGGGGACTGCGGCAAAAAAGCATAGTATCAATCTCGTTCTCGGCCCGAGAAGAAGTGACTGGAGAGCTTCTCCAGCTTTCTTTCAAGGCTCTGCCTCCAGCCTCCAGCTCACCGATAAAAATTCCGCCGAGGGGTTGCCATTCGGTAGTAGAAAGTCCTGATGCCCCGCCCTATCACATTTGGTAACATTTGTTGGCATGAACTCTCGAGGCAAGGATGTCAAAGCGGTGGACCCCTCACACCACGAAACCGCCCCTGCAAGATGGTGAAGAATGGTCAACGACCGTTCAGCAATCGGTACTATATATATCGTTTAGATTTATTTTCGGACTTGTACTAGATGGTGAGAATTAAGAGCATGCTGCCCCCTATCAATGACGATTCAACATTTGCGGTGTCGTTGGCCCCCTTTTGGAACATGTATATCGGCAATTGGGAGCTATCATCGTTAAAAAAGCAGTATCATCTGATTCTTCGACTCGTCAATAAGGCCACGAAGGATCTCTCGAATCAAATTGCCATGAGAGGTTCACACCTCCCGAACGTCAACCGTCAGGATTCCGAGATCGTCTCCTGCAGATTGCGAACGCATTGACGAAGATTTGGGAGAGAATGCAAGACAGTGTCAGAACACGCAATCCGCCGCCACTTACTAGAAGGGCATTTTAATTGCAGATTTGCACAGATATGCCTGCTCTGCTCTATTGATAGAGGCCGATTTCTGGCAGCTGAGATGAAATTATCACTTCTGAAGCTTCGGGGATGCCATATCAAGCTTCAACCCAAGCAAGGTTTAGAAATTCTTCTTTCGCCCAGCTCATGCAGTTCTTTGGTACACTGTGATCTGCAAGCGATCCAGATTTAGCTGGTTAATTGTTTTTAGCCGAGTGCTTTAAGATTCTCAGCGTTAGTTAACTCGAATTGCGGGAGACTGGACCTGTGGATTTGCAGCACCCATGATTTTGCTGCCAGGGAAGTTCAACAGGGCGAACCAGGCCCGGCGCCAGTTTAACCGCGATCCTCTATCCATGGATCCCCAACTCGTGCCATTGATTGAGCGGGCCTAGTTAACTCGCTCGTACAAGCGCGATCCGGCGAGCTCCGAAACCAGTACTCCGTCTACGCGAATCCAGGGCGCACCCTACGGAATACATAGCAAGCATTCAAATAACAATTCCCATGTATGTGTAACCCGGCCTCAATATGTTCCCATCTCCAATCCCGCATCTGAAACGCCTACGTCCAAATGAAACCAACACTTGGTGCGCTTGTGGCAGAGATTTCATTTTCAAGAGAGGGGTTTTCCGTTACGGTTCGGAGAAAGCTCACGATATGAGCGTCAGTAACTTAAAATCTGCGAAGTGGGTTCATAGTCGTCTCTCCGTAAGATTCATACGGGATGTGTACACGGCGGCCACTTCGCACTCCCTCCGACTTGGAGGCTTCGGAGCTCCGCTGTCAAGGCGCTCGGTGTCGCTACCTCATCCCTCAAGCTTACGGAGTAGTAGGTTCAATAAATATGTGAACATCCATTCAACAGCCAGCCGGGCCATTATTAAACCTCAACCCTCACAATTGACGGTAGGTAACTTCTTAACATCGACATAGCATGGATAAGTTCACAATGTAAGTATCAGGATTCATAAATAATTACAAGATGAGAAGATAACTGCCACTCAGGGCGTTGCGAAAACAGTGAAATACTGGAATATTTGGCATGCTGAGGCCCGAAACTTGCCAGCAATGCAGTTAGCGCCCTTATATCCTCCTTTACTCGCCGCGAATCAGACGGTGAATCAGTTACTTCTTCATGATATGATACCTCTCAGTAGACATGAGCCTGCCTCGGTATGCGCGGCAAGCCTTGGAAAGTAGAATGTGAATCCGGTCATTGAATAAGAGTGGGCTCAGCCTGTATCTTGTCCATTGCTCGGGAGGGTTTGAGCCTGGGCGGGCTTTGCGATTTGAATTGATACTAGATTCTAAGGTGACAGTGTGGGCCGCGTTCCAGGTAAAAGTTGACCTAGCCTATCAATTCATGCTGTGCCTCCTCATTTGCGCAGCCCAAATGGGCCTGATACTAAAGTGCCTGCATGCCCACTCCTCCCCATCTATTGACGAAATGTGAAAGTGTCGCTATGTTGCTTTGCCAAGCCCTGTAAATTTGATAATTTAACTTCACCCTTTTTATGCTTTATCCGGCCTCTAGCAAGCCACCTCAACTTGTGAGATGAGGAGTACCACCTACGGGGCAGGATCACATCACCCCTACCTTGATTTGTCGCGAGAAAGTATCCTCACAGCATCTTTCGAATAGATGTAGCCCAGCCCGGACCAACAAGTTGTGAGAGCAACAATGTACCTAGACAGGGAAGAATCAGAAGTCAGTGAATTGGATCTGATCCAGTACAGTGGGGAACTAAATGAAGCCAGCGACTGCAACAGGAAGGGGACAATGAGAGGACAGCGCATGTTGCAGGATTAGCCGATCAGCATGGATTTGGGCTGCTCCAGGACCACAGTAATAGCACCAGTGAAGAACACCTAAGCACACTCCTGGTAGGATCCAAGACGCTGAGACGAAGAGTGCTAAACCCAGTTAAAGGTACATGAACGGGCTGGAGGAAAAGGTGAAAGAAGAGCGGGCCAAGCACTTTTGCCAAGGCAGGAACAAAAAAGGACAAAAGGAAGCGAAGCAAGTAGCAAAAAGCAGCGCGCTATTCCCCACAAGAATCAAAAAAGCCGGTTAGCAAAAACATACAACAGCCGGGATTCGCTGGTGGTCACCCACCCAACTACTAGCCGGCCGGCAAGTGGCTTAAGTACGGCTGAGCGGACGGGAAGCCCTGTATTCCACTTCCTCTGGTCGTATGTGCTTGTTTGTTTTCTCCCACAATATTTATTGCGAAAGGAGACTTTGGTCCTTCCTTGCAAAAGAAATGTTTTTGCTCGTGGAGTGCGGTGCAAAAAACTCCCCCAAACTCACCTAACGAATGGGGGAGACGAAAAAAAAAAAAAAAAAAAAGGCAACGCCAAAAACGAAAGAGACAACAAGCAAAAGCAAGGGAGAAAATCAACTTACTGCAATCCAATCATTCCTTCATGCAAATTCCACGCACTCAGTATGGCCTCGGGAATAACGGGCATTGCCATCGCTCCCCCAATTAGCAATAGTTGCAAAGCAGTATTCACCTTTGAGATCCGGGTTGGTTTGACCACTGCAGATGGCAGAGAAAAATCCCAGTATCGTGCCATGGTTTTCGGGGGTGGTAGCGAGATCCATCTGTAATAAATGGCAGAGATTGCAAGTCCGACATCACGCGCAAGGATTAGACCGGCAAGCCAGACTATTGATAAGGTGAGTATAGCTGTATTAAAGGTTTCCCGACGGCGAAAGCAGCGGCGGATGCTATCAAAATAGAACGTACCAGGAATTGCCGATTTCATAGCAAGGCAAATCACTCCCACAGTCATAAGTATCTTGTCGGCCATGGGGTCAATTATGGTGCCAACAACCGTTTGCTGCCCGAACCTTCGAGCAATATATCCATCAACCAAGTCGGTTATGGATGCGTATGCAAATAGTGATAGAGCCATAACGTGGTTCGAATTCAGAATAAAGTAGCCAACCATAGGGGCAGCTACAAGCCGCGTGAACGTCAGGATATTTGGGATTGTATAGATATCCTCACGACCTGGAATTGGAAGTCGAGATGCCAGGCTTGGTTTTGAATCGCTATGCTGATCGTTAGCCGGCTGCCTAGGAGAGCATGTCTTCGCGGCTCGCAGAATCTTCAGTAGACAGGGGATGTACAACCTCGCCTTCTGAGTATCATCATTCTTTTTCTCTGAAGTGCGCTCCGAGCTCATCGATCTCCTCCAATGCAGCAGCCCTCTGCAACTCAAACCAGTTCCGCTTCTAAATCCGGATACGGAACCTGACCTAAACCCAGGTAAACATCAAGATTTCATCACAACTTCTCCATTCATTGGGCAAACTCACATTGAATCACCACATCCCCAAGTGGTCGTCTTTAATGCTTTAGCACACAGTGAAACACGGCCCGAGTCAGCGAACGACGAAAACGACAATTGCCTTCGACAGTGAAAAGGCAGAAAGTAGGAGACTGTCAGAGAACGCTGCTGCGGCGGGAGAGAAGATCGACCAGCACGCAATGCTCCAAGTGACACGCGGAGGTGCACCGTTCCACGCATGGTTCCAAACAGGCGCCTTTGCACCCGACCAATGGAGCTCCCAAAGTTTCAGTTTTTCAGACTTCAACTGTCGCTTTTTCAACAAAACACTCCCGCTGTAACTCTGAAAATTAACTCAATTTCTTCGCTTCTCAATACTTTAAAGCATTTTGCAAAGACTCGCAGGCCACGAGATCTGAGCAGCAGTAATTCAGGAGCATAAACGAATGAGGAAAAGTAAGACCGAATTCAAAGGACCCTTTGAACAAATTCTAGTAGCCAAGTTGCTAGTGTAAATCTCCCATCCATTCCCAGACCAGGAACATGGAGAGATTTCAACGGCTTCGAGAGGCAAACTGAAAGCACAATATCAGCGAAGAAAAAAAGTCAGGAGATAAAGTTTAACTACCTACTCGGGCTACTCGCTGATTGGCGAAGCGCCTATGACCGAACTCGTGGGTTAAGCGCGCGGCTAAGGAGCCACTCGAGAATCACCGAAAGGGCTATGTACTCCATTCTCCTACTCCTGAAAATAGTGTGGTGGAGGCGGCAAAAGGAAAGGGGACCGAGCAAATAGATTACAGCGATCGTTTACGTCTAACTCTTTCACAGAAGGTTGCGAGTTCGAATCTCGCCTCCACCAAAAAGAAATCTTTACCATGGGGGATCCCATCCCCTTGGAGGACGGGTGCTATCTGTTGGGTGGTTATAATTGGTTGCTATGGATCAGGAATATACACAAATTAGGTATGAGATGTACTGGGCCTGTGTGGTTTACAAGATGATCCACTTTAATTATGTACTTTCTATTGGTTTGCAAATGTCAAGATGTGTCAGTTACACCCAAGGTTTTGAGGGTTTTCCCTTGGGGCATGGCTCCAATCAGGAGAATGACGTGAGTTATAAGGGGCATGGCTTGCCTCCCCTGGGAATCATGTGCAGTTTGAGCTTAGTTAAACGGAATGACTTAACTGAAGTCCCCACTGTTGGAGCATGGAAATCTAAGCTTCGTTGTACTGCTACAAAAGGGGGCTAGCGAGATCTCATCTCTTATGGTGAGATGGAGCTTGGCAGCGGAAAAGAGTCGGACCGATGATGATCACGTGAGGTCACGTGTGCGCTAAACCCAAAAGGAGTTAGGGTGCGCGAACACCCACATCAAGGAGGACACATGCCTGTAACTAGTTGACAGATAGCGTGGCCTTCATAGTCTCTGACTGCATAAGGCCTACGAAAAATATGAATTACACATACACACACACACACACACACACACACACACACACACACACACACACACACACACACACAGTCTTGAAACGAGGAATTGGTTTGGTTTGGTTTGGTTTTAGTCATACACCATCCCAGCCACCTATTGGGCAGCTATGCGGGATCGCGCTA